GTGTCATTACCCTAACACAAACATTATCCACATAAGGACACCAAAAGAAGAGAAAATTACAGGCCAATATCCCCAGTGAATGTAGATGCAAAAATTATTTAAATAAAAAAAATAAAAATATAAAAATACACATATATATATGTGTATATATATATAATACTGAATTCCACAATACATTAAAAAGCTCATACATCGTGATTATGTGGGGCCCTGGCTAGTTTGACTCAGTGGTTAGAGCATTGGCCCACAGACCAAAGAGTCATGGGTTCAATTCCGGTCAAGAGCAGGTACCTGGGTTGCAGGTTCAATCCTTGGCCCCAGTCAGGATCATGTAGGAAGCAACCAAGCAATGTGTCTCACATCGGTGTTTCTCTCCCTCCATCCCTCTTCATCTTTTTTTTTGTTTTTTTATTTTTTATTTATTTATTTATTTTTATCCTCACCCGAGGACATTTTTCCATTTTTTGCACAGATAGAGTGGGAGGGAGAGAGAGGAAGAGAGAGAGAGAGAGAAACATCGACGTGAAAGGGACACATCGAGCGGCTGCCACCCGCACAACCAACCAGGGCCGGGGACAAACTGCAACCGAGGTACATGCCCTTAGCGGGAACTGAACCCGGGTCTCTCCAGACCGCAGGCCGACGCTCTAACCGCTGAGCCAAACCGGCCAGGACAAACCGGCCAGGACCCTCTTCTTCTTAAAAAAAAAAAAAAAAAAAAGAAATATCTTCAGATGAAGATTAAAAGAAAAAAGTGGGGTTTGTTCCAGGGATGAAAGAATCGTTCAGCATTACCAAATCAGGCAGTTGGATACACCACCATTTTAACAAAATAATGAATAAAAATCATATGAGCATTATTTGACATAAATGATGTTTGACAAACTCAGCATCTAATCGTGATAACTCAATAAACTTAGTAGAGAGGGAACATACCTCAACATAATAAATGGCATATGACAGATCTGTTGCTAACATCATTCTTAATGGTGAAAAACTCAAAGCTTTTCCTTAAAAATCAGGTGCAAGACAAGGATGTGCACTCTTACCACTTATATTTGCTATAGTACTGGAAGCTCTATTCAGAGCAATGAGGCAAGGAAAAGAAATTTTAGGGTTTTCTATATATAACATATATGCAAATAGTGACAGTTTTACTTTTTCCTTTCCAATTTGAGTGCCATTTATTTCTTTTCCTTGCACTCAAATTGGAAAGGAAAAAGTAAAACTCACTATTTGCATATGATATGTTATATATAGAAAACCCTAAAGACTCCACTGAAAACTATTAGACCTAATAAAGTCAGCAAAGTTACAAGATCCCCAAAACACAAAAATCTGGTGTGTTTCTATCAGAAAAAGGAATCAGGAAAACAAGTTGCATCAAAATGGACAAATATCTAGAAATAACTTTAACCAAGAAGGTGAAAGACCCATACACTGAAAACTATAAGACATTGATGAAAGAAAATGAAGACACAAATAAATAAAAGGTCTTCATATTCATGGGTTGGAAGGATTAATATTGTTAAAATTCCCATACTGTCCAAAGCAATCTACATCTTCAATACAATTTCCATCAAAATTCCAATGCTATTTTTCACAGTAATAAAACAATCTTAAAATTTGTGTGGAACCAAAAATAATCTTGAATAGCCAATCATACTCTCTGATTTCAAACTATATTATAAAGCCATAATATTCATAACAGTAACAGCATTGACATAAACACAACCACAAATCAATGAAACAGAATAGAGTGTTCAGAAATAAACTCATGCACATATGGTCAGTTAATTTACAACAAAGGAGCCAAAAATGTACAATAGGGAAAGGACACTCTTTTCAATACATGGTATTGGGAAAACAATGGCCACATGCAAAAGAATAAAACTCAACCACTATCTTACAATTAACAAAAACAAACTCAAAAGGATTAAAGACTTAAATGTATGACCTGAAACCATAGAACTCCTAGAGAAAAACGTAGACAAAAGCCCTTTGACATCAGTGTTGTCAGTAATCTTTTTTTGGATCTGACTCCAAAGCAAAGGCAACAAAAGCAGCTGAAAAACTTCTGCCCAGCAAAGGAAATCATTGACAGAATGAAAAGGCAACTTAATGAATGGGAGAAATAATTTGCAAAGTATATATCTGATAAGAGGTTAATATCCAAAATATATATAAAGAACTCATACAATTAAAAAAAAAACAACAATGGGCAGGAGATCTGAATAGACATTTTTCCAAAGGTATACAAATGGCCAACAGGTATGTGAAAAGATGCTTAATATCACTAATTATGGAAATACAAATCAAAACCATGATGAGATGCCACCTTTTAGAATGGTGATTATCGAAAAGACATAAGTGTTGGTGAGGACATGGAGAAAAGGGAGCCCTTGTGTACTGTTGGTGGGAGTGTAAATTGGTGCAGCCACTATGGAAAACAATGTGGAGGTTCTTCAAAAACATAAAAATAGCTACCATATAATTCAATTCTACTTCTGGGTGTTTATCTGAAACATACACACACACACACACACACACACACACACACAAACTTTGATTTGAAAAGACATATGCATGCTCATGTTCATAGCAGCATTTACAGTAGCCAAGATACGTTAATGACCTAAGTGTCTGTCTATGGATGGATGGATAAAGAAGATACACACACACACACATAAAAGTATATATGTAATTGTATATTTACATATGTATTTGTATACTTATATGTAGTATATATAGGTATATATATAAATAATTATATATATACACACATAATGGATTATTAAACCATAAAAGGAATAAAATCTTGCCATTTATGATAACATAGATGGAGCTTGAGAGCATTATGCTAACTGAAATAAGTGAGAAAGACAAACACTGTATGATCTCACTTATATGTGGAATCTAAAACAAACAAACAAACCCACAGATAACACAGAACAGTTTAGTGGTTGCTGGAGGTTCAAACAGGGGGTGGGCAAAATGGTGAGGGAGTCAAAAGGTACAAACTTCCAGTAAAGTAGTAATATACTGCTATGTCCAAGTGGGATTTATGTCAATAATTCAAGGTTGGTTTAAGTTTCAAAAATCAATATAACTCAGCATATTAACAAATGATTAATAATGATAGGAAGGCTGGGAAATGCTAACATTTCTGCTTGAATTAATCTGGCTCACCCAAGTGATCATGGACATAGCGCAACAGTGACTGTATACATAATGATGCTCTATCTCTGTAAAACACATGCACTTGGAGGCTCAGATGACATACTTCTTATAGTCAGGTGCCACGAAAAGAGGAAGGCTGCACTCAGCAGGCTCGGTCTCTTCCCAACTCACCGACTCACCAGTCATATCCCTCAGGGGGAAACAGTGAGATGGTTCCAGTGACAGCTTCTGCCACATAGGAGCATCAGTGGTAGAGAGTCAATGTTCTCCGTAATATTACCAATGCATGTGATTTTCAACATACATTTTAAACTACTGGCCTCTGCAGTAAGGTCTGAGAAAGGAAGAAGGATGATAGAAATATACAGAACTATATTATTTAGAAAAACCAAGAGGTAAGAAACGTTAAAATCAATAACATTTTAACAGCGGGTACAACAGTAATTCCATATTAAAACAACCCCTAAAAACGTAGAATGTCCTTTTAAATGATCATAATGAATACATTGAAAAGAGAGATTAGTGTAACATAAAAAAATTACTTGGAAATAAAAATTCCTACATACTTGCAGAAGTAAACCATGTCCTGGTTAGAAAAACTGCTATAAAGATATGAAGTTATTTATAGTTAACATATTTGTAGAAAGTATTAAGTATAAAGGTATTACATTCAGGCCCTGGTTGCCCTATAATCTATCCACCACACAGCAGCCAGAGTGCTTTTACAACTGTAATTTATAACTATCACTCACCTGCTTAAATCCTTCCACTGGCTTCCCATTGTTCTGAGAATAAAACCCAAACTCCTTACCATACCCTACTCAGGCCTACACGATATGGCCGTGGATTGTCTTGCTCCACACGTTTCATACATGCTGCCCTCATGTCTGTTCTTTGAGCACATGAAGTTCTTGCTTTGAGGCCTTTGCCCTTCTCATTTCTTCTTCCATTCAGAGCTCCTGTCAGACCTTTCTTCAGAGGGACCTCCTCTGGTCATTCAGTCTAAATTTGTCCCTCACAGGGAGTTATTCTATGTTTATTGTAATTACCACTATTCAAATGAGCTTATTTGTTTCCCTATATGCTTGCATATTGTCTCTCGGCCCTCCTCCCACTAGAATGATAACTCCAGAGTTCAGAGTTATTGATGAGGAGTTCATGCAAGTCCCACAGTTCATTCCTGGCTGTTGTGATGAAGCTCACCACTTTAATTCAGCACCTAGCCCCGTTATCTGGACCATATTAGGCACTAAATATTCCTTAAAGAGTGTTGACTGTCACAGAATAAAAGCATGGAATGAAGTATATACTGCATCAATACACTTTTGTTATCTTTCAACTTCATACTTATGAAAGTGTTACCTAAACAATTGTGTTATTTATTCAAAGATAAATAAATAAAAGTAAAATAATTAAAATTATAAGGAGACAATGAAGAAAACTATTGTCATAATCTTAGGATAAACAACATAAATGATTCTCCATACATAGCTGTCTCCTAGCTGCTCAGTTGCCCTCCCTGGAGGACACTTGTTTCTAGTTCTTTTGCGTCTTCTAAATATATGCATGGAGATTTGTGTTTATAGGTAATAGACATGTGATAGCTAGCTAGTCTTTTTTTTTTTTTAATTTTTATCTTTTACAAAATTGATAGCAAGGGGTGAATTTGTCACTCTAGGATTCAGCAACCACATTATCATAAAAGTGTGTGATAATGGCCCCAGCTCTGTGTCAGCCCTGTCCCATCCCACAAGGGTTCTTAAATCTAAAATTCTATTTTACAATTTTAAAAATAACCTCTCCCTGCCTCTTTCTTTCAGTATGCGCAGATTTTAAGAGAAAGGCTAAGAGAATCATCCCACGACGTTCAGTACGTAGAGCCTCCGTTTGACGATGCCATCGCAGATATAGGGAAAGAATGGAAGAGCGCCCTGGCGAAATTCAAGTTTGCGAATTCTTACCGGATGGAGCCTGTGAAAAAATTCCAAGCTCATTCAGTAGAAACTAAAGTCGAGCAGATACTACAGGTAGGGTGAAGATATCTAAGACAGCAGTATCTTAGCTTGGGGGGTTTGATAAACGATATTGAGATCTGTGGCAGTGTAACTACCCTGCTTTTTTTTTTTTTTTATAGCAGTCATCTCTGAAAATATGAAAGTACTTTGTCAGTAATCTTCACATGGATACTCTGAGCTAGATTTAAGGGAATATACTTTTGTTATTTCCTTTAGCTCTTAATTATCCATCAATTATGTATCCCTCTGGTCCCCGTTTTGCCCCATGATTGGAGGAGTGAGTGCAAAGAGCACACTGAGTGTGTCTCCTGTCTCTGTGGGGAAAACTGGCCCCTGACTGTGCTCAGACCTCGGAGGAAGCAGTGTCCCCAGTGTGGGTGTCAGTGGTTTTCCTCTTTAAACTGCTCAGAATCCAGAGTTCGTGAAGACAGTTGTTTGAGACTCAGACACATGATCCCAGCCTCATTCAAAGAAGCTTCTTAATTTTACAAATTAACACTGTAATACAAATAAACGATAGTACTGATACTATAATTATACTAGTTTTGGTATCTGAAGGCTATCTTGTTCAGATGGAGAGTTCCCTTTCACCATCTTTCTTGATAAAATACCAAATTAAAATTTTATTTCTAATTATTATAGGAAGTTTGCTTGAGGGACGTCCCTTTCTGAATCCCCTTTTCATCTTTGGTCTCTGGTCTGGGCACCAGGCACTCAGAAGTTTCCAGATGACCAGATTCCTTTTGTGACCCTCCACCGAGCCTAAGGCCACCCCTTGTGATAAAATCACTGCCCCTCGGTTTACAAGATGCGTTCTTTCAGTGACAACCGATACGAGCTAGTGGTGGGAACAAAGCACAGGTTTAATTAGTTTGTGTAGGTGATTGATGCCTCTTTAATTCTGTAAGTGACTTGACCTTTATTAATGTTGAAGAGCAACGAAGCGACTCCATTTCCTTCCACTTCACAGACATCGACGATGTTGGGCGGAGATGTGATGGCTCATGACTTCAGGAAAGAAATTCAGTTCAATTTTAGTACAATAAATTAGTTATGGATTATCTCCTTCTCTGATGTAAACACTAGCAGCAGCAAGCATCTGTGATGTGAGAGTGTGCATTTTGGTGTGTCTCTTACTCAGTTCTACCACATAGACTGAATTCAGGTTTATCGACTATAGTAGGATTTCAAATCGTATTTAATGTGATAACTTATAGAACTTCATTGGGCTTGATGGGGCCTGGAACAGTTTATTGGGTATGTAGGTGGATGGCTAGAGGTCATAAAGAGGTCAGGGATTTCTCTGAGTTCAGAGGACACTGAATATAGTTCTAGACACAGAAATAGTATATTGGTGGAGCTTGTGGGTATCTCTCTACAGGAAGTGCTCATTGTTTTTTTTAAAAGAGCCCTTAGGTGGATAAAGCCTGGGATATGTCAGGCAGATTCAGAAGAGAAAGTGGATGTTGCTGAGTGTCCAAAAGTTACAGCCACAGCCAAATGCCTTTGGAAAATCAATGCTTCCAGGCCCATTGTAGACCCCATTGTAGAGCATTTGAGAAGAAAACAAAACAAAAAAGGGGCTAGTTCTTTGGTTTTACATGCCTGTAAAATTAGCTAGGAGTCCATTTGTTATCACTTAGAACCCAGAACATGGTTAATGTATCATTGGTCCAAGTCGATTCATCAGAGACAGGAGCTGGGTGCCTGCCAGATGGCCCAGCTTGCCGTGGTTTGGACTCACCTGTCTCCCCGCTCTAACCCCTTCACTAACCAGCACTGCGAGAACCTTGATGTCCTTGGCTTTCTGCTGGAGACCACAGAGAACAATCGAGTGGGAGCCATAGGGAGAGGCTAGAGATCAGGGGTGTATCCAAGGAGACCGGGGCAGACGGGTGCCCTGAGGCAGGCCTGGGTCTGTGCAGCCCTCTTTAGGGAACCCAAATCTGAACTTTAGCAGATATGTGTATTTTAAAAAGATTTGTTTCCTCTCCCTAAAAATTCCCAGAAGCTTTCCTTTATTTTATTTTATTTTTTTTTTATCCTCACCCGAGGATATTTTTCCATTTTTTGTACAGATAGAGTGGGAGGGAGAGAGAGAGAGAAACATCGACGTGAAGAGACACATCGAGTGGCTGCCACCTGCACGACCAACCAGGGCCAGGGACAAACTGCAACCGAAGTACGTGCCCTTAGCGGGAACTGAACCCCGGTCTCTCCGGGCCGCAGGCCGACACTCTAACCGCTGAGCCAAACTGGCCAGGGCCCCAGAAGCTTTCCTTTAAAATTCTCCTTATGTCTCCCTGATTGTTGGCTAAGAGTAACTTGCAGTTTAACAAACAGTAACTGAACACAAACCCAAAGTAACTTTTCTCCAAAATCGTTACTGAAATACATGGGTAAGCATAACATGCATTTAATATTATTTGGTTAAAAAGTTATATGTATTATTTAGACTTTTTTTTTCTTGAATTTTTATTTAGAAAATATTTGGTTTGGAAATTAAAATATATTTTTAAAATTTTTTAAAGGAAAGTCTTAAAGATGTCAAATATGATGATAAAGTCTTCTCTCATTTGTCGCTTGAACTAGCAGACCGCATACTGTCAGCAGTCAAAGAGTTGGGGTACCAGCGTTATAAGTTCATTACAAAGGTATTATTTATTCAGAAGAGCGGCCAGGCAATAAATGTAAGTACCCCTGAGCCGGCACATGGCAGAGGGCGAGGCCTGGCCACTTGGCTCTCTCGCCCCCATCACTCCCCTGGGCTCCGGGCACCTCTGAGGGGAGGGCGGTGCTCGCCTGTGGCCCCACTGGGGTGCGTGTGAAAGTACTGACTGGAAACGACCGTTTTCTATCGGTAATTCACTAACTGCACAGGTAGCCTGTTTCTTCTTCTTTTTCAGTTCTCACCCAAGGATATTTTTCCATTGATTTTTTTTTTTAGATAGCGTGGGAGGGAGGAAGGGAGAGAGAAACAGCAGTGTGAGATACTGTCCACCCCACCAACCAACCCGGCCGGAGCTCTAACCACTGCAACCGGCCAGGGCGATAGCCTGTTTCTTATCCACACCGTGGACATTTCATGTCCTTCAGTAACTAACCAGTAAATGTATTTTGGGCGCTAATGGGTGTTAGGCACTGGAGAAGTTCAGAGAATGAGGCAGAGTATGGTTCTCCAGGCGCTTCGACCCCAGCCAAGGACGCACAGCAGCACAGCCCGGGTCGGAGAAGGTAGAGTAGTGAGGACAGAAACCGCCACGGTGGGGTCCCTGGCTCAGACCCAGGCCTGCGGCAGCACCCACAGCCGAGGCCTGGGCACAGCCTTTCATCGAGGACTTGGGGGTGAGACACTACTTGCTAGAGTAAGTCTGAGAACGGAGCGAGATGAACTGGTTTAAAATCCTTAGCAGTGTCTCCAGCACAGTCCTCAAACAGCAAATGAAACAAATGCAGCCCCGCAGGCGGGGCGGTGTCTAGTGAGGCGGGTGAGTGTGCGGAGCGGGGCCTGCAGAGGGACTTCCCGGGGTGGGGGATCCCCACGCGCCAGCACAGACCTGGGTGACAGCCGCGTCCAGGTGGTGACAGGTGTCAGCAGTGTGGCAGTGACTGCGTGGCACCGTCCAGACGGGAGGCGCCCGCGTGCCAAACGTCAGGGAGGGTTGCCAAGCAGGGAAACGCGGGGCGCACAGAGGCGAAGGCGGGGTGAGCTCGGTGCTTCAGCGATCAGGGTGGTGGCTGTGCAATCAGGCGGCAAAGGGTGGGGTGCCGTGAGGATAGCACAGCACAGCCCACCACGGATTCAGCAGCGGGGAACTACGGCTGCGCATCGCTCTGGCTCCGTGGGTCGGCTCAGCCTGGAGAGCGCTTCCTGCTGTGCCCCGAGGTGCCTGCGGCCTCCGGTGGCTCAGGTGGGCCTGGAGGTCCCAGGCGGCCTCAGGCTGTCTGCCGGGTGGTGCTGGCTGCTGGCGGGGCCCTGGTTCTCCCGCAGCTGAGCCGTGGTCCCGCAGTGCGCGGTGGGCTCCGCACCTGGGCCCTCCTCACAGGCTCCGAGAGGCCAGAGCTGCAGCCCTCTTGGACTTGCCTGGCAGTTGCACGGTGTCACATTTTTTGTGCTCAAAGCAAGACCTAGTGCCAACTAATATGCAAGGGGGGGGGGGGAATAGACTCAGCCTCTTAATGGGAGGAGCCAGAAATTATTTCTGCCATTTTTGACCCCCAACAGAGGAGTGGGCGGAGTCAGATCACGCTGGCTTTGGAAGCACAGGAGGGGGTGTTCTCTAGCAGCTGCTTGTTTTACTTATTTTTGTTACAGATGTTTCTCCTTTTCCCGTTGACACCCCCCTCCCTCCCCGCCCTGTCCCCAGCTTTGTTGTCCATGTCCATTGTTCGTGCACACATACATATAAGTTCTGTGGTTTATCTCCCCCACCCCCTCTTCTGGGGATTGTCAGTCTGTACCCCACTTCCATTTCTCTGGGACTACCCTGTTCTTCAGACTGTTATGTTCATTATATTCCACAGATAAGTGAGATCATATGATACTTGTCTTTCTCTTTGTGCCTTGTTTCACTTAGGATAATACTTTGCAGGTCCCTCCATGCCGTCTTGAAGGATAAGAGATCTTTCTTTCTTACAGTCTGGCAGCCACTTGTATCATTAGCCCTGTGTCTTCACTTCAGGACCAGGGGCTATCAAATTTTCAGTTGAAAATCTTTTAAGGGTGGGAAGAGTAATTATATAGTTATGAACTATAACACAGCCAAGTAGCTACTGGAGCTACTAGACCCAAATTACAGACGGCCTCCTGGTCCTTCCCGGGTGTCCTGCTACGATGGGTCTCTGTGTTAGGTAGTGACCAGCTGTGTCGAGAGAAGCTGGGCCTGGGAGCGTCACTGTTAAGTCTCCTCAGGAAAGGGACAAAGGACTTGTCAAACAGAACGTTCTATCAGACTGATGCATCTTTAAAGAAATCAAACTTGTGTAGGTTTTTAAATTCTTAACGACTCAATCTAAAGTTAATTTTTTAAAATATCTCTAGGTTGCCAGCCGCTGGATCTGGGACGTGGCATGGGACAGCTGGGTCGCAGCCAAACATGAGACGGAGACTTACGTGGCCCTGGCCTTGGTGTTTGCTCTTTACTGTGAATGACTTGTCACATGTCCTACACAGTGTTACTTCTCAACTCCTCAGACGCATGACATGTGCACATTTATGAACCTCAGTAGTATTGACTGGCCAAGTTTTATCTCCAACTGAAATGTCTTAATTGTATTCTTTTAACAACAAACAAGTAAAAGCTGGATTATTTTACCTTCATACTTCTAGTTATCATATTCATCAACACTCTATTTCCTCAAAATATAAAAGAGGAATATATGAAAGCTTACAGTAGATTATGATATGGGAAGATTATCATTCTTCTTAGATTTAAGAAGACTAAGAAATTATGACACAACCTTGTGAAGTATCAAATTAAGTAAATGTTAAGAAAAATTTTGGAAAACTTCTAAAGGCATATATATTTGAAGGGTATTTTAATACATTATATGCATTTGTTTGGAAGGAATTACCAAGTTTTAAAGAAAAATGCAAATATATTTAATAATCCCCTAATTAATGGCTCCTTCCCCAACCAAAATGCTCACACATTTGCGTCTGTCTGTTAGTCAGTTTGGCTCTTTAGATGCCAGAACCAAGACATGACAGTATTGTTTTTTAAGAGGAAAAGTGTGTTCCCGGGCACTTGATCAACAGCCCAGTTCTGTCTGTCTCCGTAGGCTCTGAGGACTTCTGTGTACATGTTTGAGCTGACAGAGTTCAGTCATGTTCACGTAACTTGCTAACTTGCCACAGGAAAAAGAAGAGGAATAACAAGCCTATGACATAGTACCTGTTAGACAATGTACCTTCCTGACGAACTTGTCGGGATAAATTCGTTGTAAAATACGCTGCCTCGTATTTGAGATGACCGCCTCGCAGCTATAATTGTAGGCACAATGAGAATTAAGCCTTGTTCCTTAAGTTGGTACCATATGTGAGTCACAGGTGATGTATCATGAAGCCCTGTGCCCAGCACTCGGCAGGGCCCTGGCACACACCAAGTTACCTGTCACCATTCGTTTGGACGCGTCGGAGTTCCCTTAAGCTCTGCCCTTTCTCTGGCCCTTCTCCCAACCCCAAACACATGTACTTGTTAAATTCTATAGACTCTGCTTTTAAGTGACTCAAATTCACTTGTCAGTACAGACATCTGAACACCCCTCCTCGGACTCGCTGCTTCTCAAAGCTCCTTGCAGCAGGTTATTGACCTGTCTTTCCGTTGTTTGCAGAATTCCTCTCCATCTATTCCCAGTCTCTTCTCCAGTCGTATTTTGAGTTTCTTTCCTGACTTCTCCCCAAGGAGAGTCCCACACAGCCCTCTCCAGAGAAAGCTTTTCTCTCTCTCAGTTTCTAATGCCTCAGAGCCAAGAGGTGGGGCAGGCAGCCCAGCCCCTCTGCCCTTGGGAACTGTATTGTAGCTCCTGGAAATGCAGCCCTTTGCCTCTGGGTGTCACTGCGGCCTGCAGTCCCAGCTGGTTCCTTCCCATCTCCGCTCAGCTCCTGCCACTGTTCTGTGTGACATCAGTACACCCACACAGATAGTCCTCCAGCAGGGCAGCCCTCGCTGTGCATGGCCCAGGTGTGTGCACACTTTAGTTACCTCAGTGTTAGGTAAATAACAGCAGTCCCCTAGCAACACAGCTCAGATTTCAGCTACCACAGACTATTAACTGAGTAATTTCAGAGAGAACAGACTCCACTGCCAGCCCTTCGGTCCACAAGTCACTGTGTAAACGACAGAGGGCGGTATGATCCTGTCTTCAGTCTGCCAGTCACCGTCCCAGTCGGCTCTCAGCTCTCCATTTCGCTACACAGACAGCCACTCGTGGAGCTGGGCTGTCTCCTTGTCCCTGTGACAAGTCCATGTGATGGTTTACAAAAATGGACCATTGAAAGAGGGAGTTGCCAAAACGGCTGAAAGTGCTTCAGATAACTGATGACGCTGGAAGTGAAAGGAAATTTGAAAATGTAACAGCAAAGCTGCGATGGGGTAAGACCGAAGCCCGGCTGGAAGTTCTACAGGAGCCTCGGGGAGAAGTCCGACGAGTAGGAAACAAGGCAGAGCTGTGTCAACGTCTTTTTGTGTAAATTGCTCCAGAGACAGAAAGACCCTAATGGTCGAGAAAGACTTTCTTCTTCTTTGGATAGAAGACTAGTAAAATAAAAATCCCGATCAGTTTGGCTAGCATTCAGGCCAAAGTGTTGAACTTAGTTGCCTTGTTGAAAGAAAACTAATTACAATGAGACTGAAAGCTGTTTACTGCCAGTGAAGCCCGTTGCATCAGTTTACAGGTCCACGTGAATCGATGAGCATCGAGCTACCTGCTGAGCCGGGAGCCCACTGCTGGAAAGCACAGACTAGTTGCAGCCGTGGTCCTGACGTAAGGACAGAGCCGTTCGGAGGGTGTAGCACAGACAGCTTCACTTCAAAGAGAGATTTTACAACATTAAAAATGCAAAGATTAGCCCTGGCCGGTTTGGCTCAGCGGTTAGAGCGTCAGCCTGCGGTCCTGAGAGACCTGAGTTTGGTTCCCGCTAAGGGCACGTACCTCGGTTGCAGTTTGTCCCCGGCCCTGGTTGGTTGTGCGGGTGGCAACCACTCGATGTGTCCCTTTCACGTTGATGTTTCTCTCTCTCTGTTCCTCTCTCTCCCTCCCACTCTACCTGAACAAAAAATGGAAAAATGTCCTCGGGTGAGGATAAAAAAGAAGCAAAGATTCGAATGTTTGAAACCAATCCAAACCTGGGAAGAAGCATGACAACCTGTCAAGATGGAGAAAGTGCAAGTCACAGGGCTTTATGTCAAGTGCTGAGGTCTCAGAAGAGCTCGGCGTATTGTCCTTTGGGAATAACCCGGAGGCCTGGCTGTGGGAGACAGGAGTTGATTGAGACGTACGTGTGCACTGGTGGGACTCTCCTGGTGAAGTTTACCGGCACGCCACTGCCACCAGTGAAGTTGGGCTGCAACTTTGTCCCCATCCGGGGAGGGGGATGGCGGCTGGTGGTGCTATTGCTTTGTGGCCACCCAGACTTTTCCACCACAAGGTTTTATAGAGGACAGACAACAGGGTCTGTGGGGGGAGGGGGACTGCAAAAGCTGCATGAGATCAAAACGCTGTTTGCTTGACTGAGGAGCTGGCCGGGCTCCGGAGGTCTCAGTCTGTTTACCAATGGCTTTCACTGTGTTTCCCACAGTGGAGGGGAGCTGGAGCATGGGAAGGGGCCCATGCTCCCCTTCACCCTGCACAGGGTTGAGAAGGAGGCAGGTACAGTCCAAACCACTCTTGGTAAAGTTTTACAAAGAAGTAAAACACGAATTCTCAATGTTTTTCTTGTTTTCACGACAGTGTGCTGAATAAATGTAAGTTTCACAGAAATTCCATATACGTTTATAATTGGCAACCTTTCATCATTTTTGTAGCCATGTGCTATCATACCACATGAAGACGGTCTGTTCTCTAGCTTCTCAGTTCCTTGACTGACTCCCACTCAATGACCTTTTCCTTCAGCCACGCTGGTCGTCTGCTCCTCAGTTCACCCCGTGTGGCCTCTGTGACCTCAATTTCAGGCGGGCTCTTCTCATGCGGTTACTTCCGTTGACCCTCCCCAATGCCTGACAGCCCTCTTTCCTCCCCGTCCAGGTTAGATGTCCTGGCCCGTCTTCATGATCACTCCCTTACAAACACCTTCCACATTCTTGTGCCCCAGTCTTCTTCGGGAAACCCCTTCCTGAAGGAACCTCAGTGTCCACTCTGTCCTGGCCTGAATTCAGCTGGCTAAACTTGACTGAGAACACTGCCAAACCAGACTGACTGGTGACACTTTAAATTCATGACCAGTGGGCAAGCCACGTGGCATCCTAGAAGCTTCATTTTCTCCTCTCCTCCAGCTTCCTGTATCCGTCTTCTCCAGGTACTTTCAGCTGATGACCTCACCTCACATTTCATTGAGGGAAGAAAAGTATCAGAGGAGCCCTTCGAGCTCTGCACCTCCAAATCTCTAAACCACTTGTATCTGCGACCACACTGTTTCCCGCCCGGTTAGGATGCGTGGACTCGGCTTCCTCAGCTTCTCTCCTCCTCACAGGCCCCCTCCCAGCAGCTGTCTCCTCCTCTTGAGCAAAACGATTCCTCCTCTTCTACTGAGTCATTCTCAGCATGCAAACGGGCTCTAGTTCCCCCATCTTCAAAACAACCACCCCGCTAACCTCTTCCTCTGTTGCTCTTCTCAGTCGAACTTTTCTCCGTCTCTGGATCCAGGTCCCAGCCGATGCTTCTTTCATGGACTTCAGTCTGGGTCCTGAAATGGCCACTCCATCAAAATAGCTTGAAACGATTCGGATTTTAATTGCCCCCAAATTGCTGAATGAAATGGACATTTCTCTGTCCGCAGCTCACTCAACATCTCAGCTGACAGTTGACCAGTCAGTTCCTTTCTGAAACCCCGTCCTCTCAGCCTACAATACCTGACGCTCAGTTTTGTTTCTTCTCCTCTATTTCCGTGAGCGTCTCTGGCTTTCTTGGTCTCAGGCCTGTTTCTCACCTGTGTCTACATAGTCTCCGTGTCTCACACAGTTGTATGGCTTTTCACGTCACCACTGTGTCAGTGCCCAGCTCAGGTGTAACTCAATGGACAGGAAGGAGGTCTGTTCCTATCACCTAACACAGATCTTAGTTCATAGTTCATTTCCATAAAATATTTGTGATTAAGTGAATGGACTTTATTATTTCAATCCTACAAATGAGGAAATGGAGGGTCTGAGTTTAAATAACTTATCCATGGTCACATAGCTAATAAGTGGCACAGCTGGTATTCAAAAAGCTTAACTTCAAATCTTTGTTCTTACCAGTACCTCACACTGTATAGCTTATCTCTGACTCCCAGCATTTGCCTTCATTTACCCTAATTTTAAGCCAAATTGGAATGAAATATGCCTCCTGTTTCCCCACTTCTAAGTCCCTTTGAGCTTGGAACCTAATTTTCACTTCTAATTGTATGTTTACCTATTGTTGTACTACTAATCTCGTGCTTTCCAATCCCATGTCAACCTTTAAAATCTTAATTTCTCTAGTTGCAAGTAAATGTTCTTCCACTTAAACTACCCTTAAGTATAGTTGTATATTTGTATTATATTCTTTCAGCATCGAAACTACCTATGGGCTGGGATTGTATTCCACATAGTAACTCCTTAATATTCTGCCTTGAAAGGCTGATTCAGTGTTTGAAGAGTTTTAAATTTGCAGTTGACCCAGAGACAGACTTCCCAAGGGAGAAGAGTAGAACCAGAAATCTGAAAAAAAAAAAAAAATATATATATATATATATCTATATCATTGAACTCTCTATATAGGTGGGTGGATATATATTAAACTCTATCCAGAGAATCCGATCATTTAAGAGAATTTGGGGCAAAGATTTTGCTGCTTCTTGGAGGATTTAGGCAGCTAAGGCTATTTTCTTTCAGCGGGTTTGAGGACGCTGAGAAAGAAGATACACACTAAGAAGTGCATCTGGTGGCTAACTGGGCTCAAATGTAAAAAACAAAGCCTAACAGCTATTTCCCCCAGGGGCCTCTCACGCAAACCACACTCGGGGAGAAGCCCGCAGGAGCTACCTGACTGCACGGAGCTCCTGCACTGGGGCCGCCCAGATGGAGGCGGTCCTGGAATCCAAGCTCAACCAATAGGACTGGGGCTCTCTTCCAGGAATTGCAGCTCTATCTCCAGCACATCAGCATCTTCACCAACCAATGGGAGCAGCTTTATTCTGACCAATCAGGACAATGTCTTTTGGGCCAATCAAGTTGGAGCTGGAGTCCTTATTTACATGAGGATAGACCAATCAGGGACGGGGGCGGAGACTTCTGTTCATATAAGCCACTCCCCTGTGACTAGGAGGGCACTGCCTCTCTCCCGCGGAGGCTCTGGGCGGAGATGGAGCCCGGAGGAGGGCACGGAGGGGGGGACGGCGGACATTTTGGTGGGCCCCGCAGGGCAGAGCACTCTGGCCGGGGAGCGCCCAGCACCTCCTAGTACATGTGCGCCTCGTAACTGAGCTGAGACACTTGCGGTGTCCACAGCCCTGCAGTAGCATAACTGAGCCACTGGCACTGAACCACGCTTCCGTTTCCAGTGCGTCCCAAATCGGGACTTCCGGTTGGTGCGGAAGGGGCACCAACGACCACCAGGTTCTCGGCAGAGCAGTGGGGAGCTGGCGTAACTGACAAGGGTCAACCAGGTGCCTGTGTGAGGTGCGTGGCTGGTGATGCACTTCTGACGACGCCAGTGGGGGTCCAGGTGCACCACGTGTGCTGATGTCTGTGGGGCCAGGGCCAGTCCATTTGTTCACTGTTTCCAAACTTTCCTGCTCAACAAAAGCGAAAATACTGAAGGGAAACCGCACCGAACGCCGAACCCAGGGACATTCTCTTGTCCGCAAACATCACAGCGTGGTGCCGGGTCCCGGCAGTGACTTGCGACACCGTTGTCATCGCCTCGCGGCCGGGAGCCACGTGCTGGGTCCGGTTCTCCAGGGGCGCGTGCGTCAGCACCAGGGGGTCAACAGCGGCCTGAGACGCCGGGTTGGGAAGAAACTCAATTCTAGTAACACAGCTCCCACGGGTCCCGCGCGCTGTGCCCCTGGCCACCGCCTCCGCAGGCTCCGCGGGCGCACGTCCGGGAGAGGGAAAGGCCGAGCCACGGCTGCGGGAGGCGCCCACACGTCCGAACGGCGGTGTCCCCCGCGCTGTCCCCGGCCGACCCTGGGCGCAGCTGCCCGTGCGGTCCCTCTGGCCCGTGTGTGCCGCGCGGGCGGCCGCTGCAGACCCACCGAGCCCTGGGGCGCGGGCCGGGCGCCGGCTGTCACGTTTCCCGACGCGCACGTCCGCGAGCGCACACCGCTCGGCAGGTGGTGCGGGAGCCGCGGGCCCGGCGGCCGGCGGAGAACAAAGGCCGGCGGGGGGCGCGGGAGCACGCGGGCCGGCGGGAGGGGGAGAGGAGCGAGGGGAGGGGACCCCGGGGCTGACGTGTGGCGGGGCCGGGCCGGGGGCGCGGGTGGGGGCGGGGCCGGGCCGGGGGCGCGGCGGGCGGCGGGGCGGCGCATCGCGGGGAGCGGCGGCGGGGCGTGCGCGGCGCAGGAGCGCGGGCTGCGGGCGGCGGGCGCAGCAGCTGCGGGCGGAGCGGCCGAGGGGCGGCGGGCGGCGGCGCGGACAGCGGCGGGCGGGCGGCGCGCGGCGCTGGCGGCGGCCATGGCGGTGGCGGCGGCGGCGCTGGCGGCCCGCGGGGCGCGCGGCGGGAGGGGCCGGCCCCCGGGCGGCGGGCGGGCAGAGGGGGCGGGGCCGGGACGGCGAGCGGCCCGCGCGGCGGCGGCGGCGGCGGCGGCGGCCGGGCCGAGGCGGCGGCGGCGGCGGAGGCGGCGGCGCGGGGCGCTCGGGCTGATGGCGGCGGCGGCCGGCCCCGGGACGGCGCTCTCCCCGCGGCCGTGCGACAGCGACCCGGCCACCCCCGGAGCGCAGTCCCCGAAGGTGAGGAGGCGGCGGGCGGGACGCGGGAGGCGGCGGGAGGCGGGCGGCGGCGGGCGGGCCGCACTCGGGGGTCAGGGTCCCGGCCGCCACCTGCCGCCGCCCCCGCCGGTGCGACCCGGCTTCGGCGCTGCGTCTGGGGAGCCCGGGGCGCACTTCCGGGCGGACGGACGGGCGGACGGACGCGGACCAGCAGGAACGGCGAGCCGGCCCGGGCGCCGGACTCGGGGAACTCCAGTCGGCCTGGCCGCAGGCGCTGAAATGAGGCGTTGGGAGTCGGGGCGCGCGGGGGGACGTGCCGACGGGGCACGCGGGCCCACTTGGTGCTCAAAGTTTAGTGGCCGCGCGGCGGGGGGCGGGGGTCTGCGGGCGGGGGCGGCGCGGTCCCCCCGGAAGTGCGGGCCGGCAGCCGGCGGTGTTCCCGGCAGGTGCGCTCCGGCCCGGGCTGCGGGGGGACCGCGCCTGGGGTCCCGGGGCCCCTCCGGCCGGGGCCCTGCCCACGCGGGGGCTGCGCCCTGACTCCCGAACCTGCGGAGGGAGCCCCGCATCTCCCCGCGCACGTCCGAGGCGGCGGCGCGGCAGCCTCCACGCGGACTCGCGAGTGTCGAGGTGACGGCCGGAGTCTCGCTGCCCCGTCGGCGGGAGGCCCTGGCCCGGCCCTCACGGGAAATCCTTGCGGAGTTTGTGAGAGTGAATTCGAGACACTACCTGCCCCGGTGGTTTCGTCCCTTTTGAGGACGTTGCATTTTTAACTTCTGTCTCTCTTGAGTGTTTCCTTTGTTTTTTAATCCTCACCCGAGAACATTTTTCCATTTTTTGTTCAGCTAGAGTGGGAGGGAGAGAGAGAGAAACATCGATATGAAAGGGACACATCGAGTGGCTGCCACCCGCACGACCAACCAGGGCCGGGGACAAACTGCAACCGAGGTACCTGCCCTTAGCGGAACCGAACCCGGGTCTCTCTGGACCGCAGGCCGACGCTCTAACTCCTGAGCCAAACCGGCCTGGGCGAGTGTTTCCATTTTTTAGTCAATGAAAATGAATTGATATAAAGATCCTTAAAATCTCAACAGTAAGTAAAAAATACATTTGAGTACTTATAAGGACTTATGTCTGAAGTATTGAATATGAAATGTTTCAGTTGTGATACTGCTAAGTGTAAAATTTTGGAAAATAGATGTAGACTGTTCTCCATCTCCTACCTGCTTGCTGGTCTTCACAGGAATACACAGAGCTCTTTAATTGAATGTTTATTTTATAAGAACTGAAAAGGAGAATATTATGTGTATTTTACTGCTTGGGAAAGAATCTGAGTAAACTAATAGCTGGAACCATGTATGACTTTCTTTAAAAGAACTAAAAAAAAAATTTTTTTTTTAAATCGATTTTAGAGAGAGAGGACGGGAGAGGGAGAGAGACAAACATTGATGAGCTGAGCGACAACATTGATTTGCTGCCTCCTGCATGCCCCACTCCGGGGATCTGGCCCACAACTGGGGCATGTGTCCTGACCAGGAATCGAACCGGCGACCTCTTGGTGCAGGGTCGACACTCAACCAGTGAGCCATACTGGCCAGGCTAAAAATAAAATTTTTTAAATTGATTTTAGAAATAGGAAAGGAGATAAAAGCATCAATTTGTTCCACTTATTGATGCCATTCTTTGGTTGATTCTTGTATGTGACCCGACAGGATCGAACCCACAAGCTTGTCATATTGGGATGATGCTCAAATCAATTGAGCTAGCCTGCTAGAGACTTTCTAATTATCATCATCATAATTATATTAACTGACTTAATGGGCACTTGGTTATTTGCTAGACTTTGCTCTTAAGTGCTTTCCATGTGTTAACTAATTTAATCCTTGCATTAGACAAGTAACACAGGAGCCATTACTATGTCAGTTTCACAGGTGAGGGGCAGCTCCCGAGGACAAGACTCAGCCAGTGAAGGGCAGTGCATCCCAGGCAGGCCAGCTGTGGCTGCCTGACCAAAATACCTTACTGCCTCTTCATGTTCTGCAGGGTTCCTTTAATGTGCATCAAGAGGACCACAAAAGAGTACTAGTCTTTGAAAGCTACATTACCATGACTTTTTTTAGAAGTACTTTTTTTAAGCCTTCTATTCATTAAGCCTTAGCTAATATGTGGATACGTCAGTTTCCTAACATTCGGTACCTCATTCATTTTCTTATGGCATTGGTCCACCTCGCAGCCTTGCTGTAAGTGCCACATAATGGATGGTGTCACTTAAATTGGTTTAAGCCTCTTTTTTTGTGTGTGAGGAGGGTGTTGCTCTATAGAGCCATGACTCTTATTAGGTTATGTTTTTCTCACTTTTTGCAACGTAAGAAGAAAATGAACAGGGTTGGTAACCTGTTTTTAGTCCTTGAATGTCCTCTCTTCATAGGGATAGAAGTACCTAAAATAGCCAATTAGTCCTATAAACCAGCTGTAAATTGAACTAAACACTAAATGAGTCATATATTTTTCTCTTAGCTGGGGTCGGAGGGTTTGCTTTCATTTTAGTGTTATAGCAATTTCATGTGTTTATTTAAACTAGAAGGCATTTTAACCTTGGTTGTAGGCTTAGTTGGTAAGAAAGCAAAGTAGAATTAGATATATAGGTTAATTGGAAGATTTTTTTTTTGTTTTAACTTGTATTGAAGATCAGTTTTTAGTTTTTCCAGGTTTTGTCTATGCTGCATTCTTGGCCTCTAATTATAATAATAATCCTTAGAAAGTCTTCAAGTGGAGCCTTTGAACAAGTTCACAAGGTTACCTTCCTTCCTTATTATTCTTTCTCTTATTTTTAAATCTTTTAAATGTATAGGATGATAATGAAGATAATTCCAATGATGGGACCCAGCCATCCAAACGGAGGCGGATGGGCTCAGGAGACAGCTCTAGGAGCTTTGAGACTTCTAGCCAGGACCTCAGGTACTGTCATGTCCTCGCCGGATAATATTTTCTGTGGTGTGTTTCTCTTCTCTGCATTACCCCTCCTGCCCTCCCCCACCCCTGGCAAAGGCAGTTATCAGAAATTATAGAATATGGTTTGTCGTGTTTCACAGTATGGCACCAAACTTGATTTTGTTCTCAGTGCAATTAGGAAATTTACCAATTTTATTTGGTAAAATGCACATAAAACCCACCATTTTAACTCTTTTATTTTTTTGGTACGTGCCCCTAGTGGGAACTGAACTCAGGACCCTCTGGTCCGCAGGCCAACGTTCCAACAGCTGAGCTAAACTCTTTTAAAGTATATAGTTCATTCATAGTGTTGTGTAGCCATTACCAGCATCCATTTCCAAAACTTTTTCACTATGAAAACAGAAACACCATGACCATTAAGCACTAAGAATTCTTATTTCCCCATTTTCCTTGCCCCTGGCAACCACCACTCTACTTTTTATTTGTTATGAATGTACCTATTTCTGGCTCCTCATGTAGGTAGAATTGTACCATCTTTATTTTGTGTCTGGCTTACTTTTTCAAATGTCATCCAGGTAATAATATGTGTTAGAATTATCTTTCTCTTTAAAGTTGAATTACACTCCATTGTGGGGATATGCCGTGTTTTGCTTATCCATTCATCTACTGATGAAAATTGGGGTTGTGTTCACCTTTTGGGTGACTCACACTGCTGTGAGCATTGGTGTATATATCTATTCTGAGTACCTGTTTTCTGTTCCTCTGCGTGTGTACCCAGGAGTGGAATAGTTGGATTATACGGTAATTCTGTTTTCCATAGTATATTCCTACCAAGAGTGTGTAAAGTTTCAAATTTCCCATCCTTATCCATATGTTATGTCAGCTAGTGGTCTTGGGTATCAGTTCAATGCCAGTAGGAATTCCTAATTTGGGTGCAATGAAGGAAACTTTATTCAGTGCGAACAGCTCGATTGTGATATAGCTGTGAGAACAGCACAGTGGTCAGGTGGCCCTGGGGCGAGGCCACCTGGGACCAAGCTCTCCTCCAGAAATGGGTCAGTGGGGAAAACAGGCTTAGGTGGGAAGGGAGAATATGGCTTGAGGCAGAGGGCAGCTGAATTATGTAGATAGAAGTCCCTGCTCCTTGTCCCTGATTGGTCAGTCCTCATGTAAATGAGGGCTCCAAATCCTTGCAGTTTGATTGGTCCAAAAAGCACTGTCCTGATTGGTCAGAACAGAGCTGCTCTGATTGGTCAGTGAAGCTGATGGGAGAATATAGCTGTGCAACTCTGAGTGGATGGAGAAGTCCTCAGTCCTATTGGTTGAACTAGGATTCCAGGAACTCCTTTGTAAAGGCCGGCTCAGATGGTAGAAACACCGGGCAAGCAGCTCAGTGTAAGCTTCTCCTTGAGTTAGTGTGAGGGGCCCTTGTGTATAAATGCCTGTTAGGCTCCTTTTTTGTGTTTGTTTTTTAATTTAAGCCCAGGTAAGCCACCGGGTTCCTTTCTTCATAGGTATCTTCCTCAGAGTCCACAGTTATTTTCTGGGTTTTTTAAAAGCCATTTTAAAGATGTGAAGTGGTATCTCATGGTGATTTTGATTTGAAGTTCCATAATGACTCGTGATGTTGAGCATCTTTTCAGGAACTTTTTGGCTATTTGTGTATCTTCTTTGGAGAAATGTCTAGTCACATTTGTTTGCCCATTGTTAAATTGGGTTGCTTGTTTTTGTTGTTGTTGAGTTGTAGTTCTTTAAATATACTGATATTAATCCCTTATCAGATACATGATTTGCAAATATTTTGTTTCATTTTGTGGGTTGTCATTTCATTCTGTCGATTATGTCCTTTCATGAACCGGTTTTTAAATTGGGCTGAATTCCTTGTTGTCTGTTGTCTTTTTGTTGCCTGTATTGTTAGTGTCATATCTAGAATACATTGCCAATCTGAGATCATGAAGATTTACCCTCTATGTTTATTTCTAAGAGTTTTGTAGTTTCAGTTCTTATATTTAGGATGTTGTTTCATTTTTGAATTAATTTTTATATGTGATATGAGGTGTAAGGGTCCAGTTTGATATTTTTGCATTTGAATGTCCAGTTGCCAGGCACCATCTTTGAGAAAATTTATTTTTGTTTGTTACTTTGTATTGGATAGATGCATAAAATTAGGGTCACCTCCCTGCCTTTATTATCCGTTGATGAAATTTAGAGGTTGCATTATCCCAGGCCCAGAAATCTGTAGTCTGCTGTTCAGAGTTGGGATTGATCTGCAGTTCATTGCCACCATCAAACTAGGGTCACTTTTTGCTACTGGATTTGTGGAGTCAGTGAGAAGAAATAATGACAGTACAGTTCAGTTCATTGAGAAATAGGTTTTTAGAGCTCTGTTCTCTCAGCTTTTTGCAATTCGCTTTATATCTGGGTTGGATGAAGTCTTGGGGGTGGGTGTCAGGCCCCCAAGAAACCGTTCAGAGCTGGTGTCAGCATCCTGTGTGGCCTCAAAGGTCTCCGGGGCTTAAAAACGCCTTTGTTCCTGACACCTGCGAGTCTTGTTCTCTGCAGTGCGTAGAAGTAGTGTTTTCATTCCGGTTTGTTTTGCTTTCCAGGAGGTGGTCTCCTTTCCCTGCATCCACTTCGCAGTCTCCTGGGTGCAGCACCACAGACACCAACTGAGAACTAAATAGTCAAGTAGTTTTTCAAAATCCTTAAACATAAATTCTGAAAAATGTATTTTTTTCAATTTTTTTTGTTTCTTTTAGAGGAAGAGCGATGGGGAGAGAGAGAGAGAGAGAGAGAGAGAGAGATTGATGAGAGAGAACATTGATTGGCCACCTCCTGCACGCCCCACACTGGGGACTGGACCCACAACCTGGGCATGTACCCTGACTGGGAATTGAACTGACAACCTCTTGGTGCAGGGCCAACGCCCAACCACTGAGTGACACTGGCCGGGCGAAAAATAAATATTCTTAAAAATAACATTTAATAGATGCTACATGGAAGGCATAACCTGTGTCTGTGTCTAGCTTCAGCTACTATCCAGCAGAAAACTTGATCGAGTACAAGTGGCCGCCCGATGAGACAGGAGAATACTACATGCTTCAGGAGCAGGTCAGCGAATATCTGGGCGTGACCTCCTTCAAGCGGAAGTACCCAGGTACTGAGTCTTAGCTTACGGAGCAGACGATGCGCACTTGTAGCTAGCAGTAACCTTTCTGTTAGGCTGTCAGCTCCGAGTGTCCGAGTGTGGGTCGTTTCTGTGCCACGTTCCTCCACGGCCGCTTTTCATTCCCTTCTGCCATCCGACGTCCTGCTCTCTCAGTTTGTTCTGTGCTTATAAACGGAGTTAAGCACAACGAGGAAGATACATTTCCTGGGAAAACCTTTAGAAAAGTCATTTTATAGTGATGTGAACAAGGGTTTTGATTCTTCCCATTGTTTTCAACCCGAGGAATGGAAGTGGCCACATCTGGATTCAGGAAACGTTTTACTTCCACTGTTTTAATGTCGCTAATTATGTTACCGACTTGCTTTGAATTATTCTCTTTTCAATTTCATTTAAGCTTTTATTTCTTGAGTTTTTAAGTTTTTTTCCGTGTATTTTCTCTTTTTAATAATACTTGGAGTATGTAATATGAAGTCCTTTTAAAAATCTTTGAAGATAGCCCGGCTGGTGTGGCTCAGTGGTTGAGTGTCTACCCTGCACCAAGAGGTCGCCGGTTCGATGCCCAGTCAGGACACATGCCCAGGTTGTGGGCCCAATCCCCAGTGTGGAGCATGTAGGAGGGGGCCAGTTGATGTTCTCTCTCATTGATGTTTATATCTCCTCTCCCCTTCTCTCTCTCTAAACAATAAAGAAAAAAAATCTTTGAAGATTTTAACTATTTAATAATTAAAAAAATTTTTTTTAGCTTTTAAAAGTTTTATGAATGCATAATGTTACAAATGCAAGCAACTGTCTTTAATCGTCCTTTGTTTTGTTTTTTTGGAGATTTAGAGCGACGAGATTTGTCCCATAAGGAGAAGCTCTACCTGAGAGAGCTGAACGTCATCACAGAGACGCAGTGCACGTTAGGTAACCGTGTCTGGCCCAGGGCAGGCTGGGTGCTCAGGTGGGAGTGGCGAGTGTCTGCCTGCTTCCTGAGGTCTTCCACCGAGTCACTAAAATGCACGGAATTATTTTAATGCAAATTTAGTTTATTTTTGATTACTGTGAAATAAAAGGAGAGTGATATGTCTGATAGCAACACCATCTCCTAAGAACATTCACAGACGTATCAAAATGTGTGCAGAATTCGGATAGTACTTTTTAAATTATTGATCCTCGTCCAGTTGGGTGGCTCGGATGTAGCGCCTTCCCGTGGACTGAGAGGTCGGGGCACATGCCCGGCTGCAGGCTCCATCCCCAGTAGGGGGCGTGCAGGAGAATCCCGGGGGGGGGGGAAGAGGGTCGTGCAGGAGGCACCTCTGCACCTTATTGGTAATTTCCTTTGCACAGACACTTTGATGCGACCTTAATACAAGGCCACGGGATCTGCCACAGCACCAGGTCGGCCCTGACACTGAGTCTGGGACGTCACTTGCGGGGCGTGTCTTTGTGTGCTGATGCTCTTGGTGACATTCATCAAACTTGAAGACTAAGGAGTGTTACATATTGAAAATTCTTTGCTCTTTTCCCTTTGACACTCTGTGTCGTTGGCATCCTGAGGACACCTGTCTGGTGCACAGCATCTAATAAAGGAAGCATCTGGTTGAGAAATTGATTTCTTTGCCTGTGCAGCTTTGGTTATTTTGTTTTGTTTTTCTTTTTTTACAGTTTCTTTTTCTTTCTTTATTGTTGAATGTATTACAGATGTTCCTCATTTATCCCCCATTGACCCTTCCTCCCCACTCCCGCCCCCCTCCTGCCTTTCCCCACATTGTTGTCTGTGTCCATTGGTTACATATAAGTTTTTTGGTTTATTTCTTCCCACCCCCCAACCCCCTTCTCTTTGAGGTTTGTCAGTCTAGCAACCAATTTGTTCTTCTTAATCCCTTCACCTTTTTCACCCATTCCCCACATCCCCCTCCTATCTGGCAACCAACAAAATGTTCTGTATCTATGAGAATGTTTCTGTTCTGCCTGTTTATTTGTTTGTAGATTCAATTGTTGATAGATATGTATTCATTGCCATTTTGTTTGTTAATATATTTTATCTTTTTCTTCAAAAAGACCCTCCAACATTTCATACAATAATGGTTTGGTGGTGACAAACTCCTGTAACTTTTTCTTGTCTGGGAAAGTCTTTATATGGCCATTGATTCCAAATGACAGCTCTGCAGGATAGAGTAATCTTGGTTGTAGGTTCTTGCTTTTCATCACTCTGAATATTTCTTGCCACCCCCTTCTTGCCTGCAAAGTTTCTTTTGAGAAATCAGCTGACAGTCTTATGGGAACTCCCTTGTAGGTAACTAACTGCTTTTCTCTTGCTGCTTTTAAGATTCTCTGTTTGTCTTGAACCTTTTGCATTTTGTTGATGATGCGTCTTGGTGTGGGCCTCTTGGGTTTCATCTTGTTTGGGACTATCTGTGCTTCCTGGACTTGTATGTCTGTTTCCTTCACCAAGTTAGCGAAGTTTTCTGTCATTATTGTTTCAAACAGGTTTTCAATTTCTTGTTCTCTCTCCTCCTTCTGGCACCCCCAAGATTCAAATATTGGCACGCTTGAAGTTGTCCCAGAGGCTCCTTACACTATCCTCATTTTTTTGGATTGTTCTGATTGGGTGTTTTTTGCTTCCTTATATTCCAAATTGATGGTTTGCTTCTTGGCTTTATCCTCTCTACTATTGAATCTGTGTAAATTATTCTTTATTTCAGTTAGTGCCTCCTTCATTTCTGACTGTGCATCCTTCATTTCTGAATGGTCCTCTTTTATGCTCTTGAGGCCTTCACTTAAGTTTGCGAGGTTCTCACTAAGTTCATTGAGCATCCTTATAAGCAGTATTTTGAACTCAGCATCTGTTAGGTTGCTTATCTCCCTTTCGCTTAGTTCTTGTCCTGGGATTTTGTTCTGTTCTTTCATTTGGGACCTGTTTCTTTGTCTCCTCATTTTGGTTGCCTCCCTGTGTTTGTTTCTATGTATTACTTAACGAGAGGTATGGGGCTAGCTGAGACCAGATGCTGCTCGTTTGAAAGAATTTAGGAAAACCTGAAGCAGGATCCAAGACAGGAGAATCCTATGGTGAAGCAACTGGTGCTGGGCCTGAAAGTTGGGTGGGGCAGGGCCTCAGGGAATCACCAGGGCGGGGCCACCAGTGTGAACCAGGAGTCCCAGATATGGCGACTGTCTGCTGCCCCAGGGAAGGGCTCACCAAAGGAACAAAGGCCTCTGACAGCACATCTGTCCCGGAGAAAGCCCCCTCTGCAGCCCTCGCTCCAGTGCCAAACAGCTCAGTTCTTCCCTGTATGTCTCTGGCGCCCCTCGAGCTGCCTCCCCTCCAAGCTTAGAGGGAAAGAGTCCGATAAGTCCGTGCGCGGGCCCTTTAAGGAGCTGCCTGGGGCTCCAGCCGCCTCAGCCTCCCTGAGCCTCAGTTCCCACTGGTTTTATGGCCAGAAGTTATGGGGATTCTCTTCCTGGCACTGGGACCCTGAGCGGGGTGCCTGGTGTGGGACGGGGACCCCTCAGTCCTCAGGGAGGACCTTCCCTGCCGAGGTGTCCTCCTGATTTTTATCCACCATGTGTGGGTGTGGGACCAGCCCGTCTGCCTCCGCCCTCCTCCCAGTCTGGATGTGGCTGCTGCTTTAATTCCGTAGTTGTAGGACTTCCATTCAGCTTGATGTCAGGTGGTTTTGAATGATGGTTATGCTGTAGTTTAGTTGTAACTTTGATGTGGTTGTGGGAGGACAGACACCGTGTTTACCTACGCCGCCATCTTGACCGGAAGTCTGTTTCGTTTTCATTGCTTGATGTCATAGTGTGAATTTCTTTTTACTGTTTTCAGATGTATTAGAATATCTTGGTTGGTTGATGGAAGGAAAGCCTTGTCAATGCAGAGTAGTCGGAAGGAAAAGCAAATTAAAAAAAGTGATTTTGTTCTCTTAGCCCTAATTGGCTTTCTTTATCTTCTTTCGGCATGAAACAGGGTTGACAGCTCTGCGCAGTGATGAGGTGATCGACCTAATGATCAAAGAGTACCCCGCCAAGCATGCCGAGTACTCGGTCATCCTGCAGGAGAAGGAGCGGCAGCGCATCACCGACCACTACAAGGAGTACTCCGTGCGTGCGGGCCGCAGCTGGCGCCCGGGTTTGGGAGGTGGCAGTGTGAGGTCATAGTGACTTGAGGCTGCAGTACTGTACTTGCAGCAACTGCAGCAGCAGCGCACGCAGAGGACGCAGGTGGTGCCCGGGTTTGGGAGGTGGCAGTGTGAGGTCATAGTGACTTGCGGCTGCGGTACTGTACTTGCAGCAACTGCAGCAGCAGCGCACGCAGAGGGCCGCAGGTGGTGCCCGGGTTTGGGAGGTGGCAGTGTGAGGTCATAGTGACTTGAGGCTGCGGTACTGTACTTGCAGCAACTGCAGCAGCAGAGCACGCAGAGGGTCGAGGCCAGCAAGGTTCCCGAGTACATCAAGAAAGCGGCCAGGAAAGCAGCGGAGTTCAACAGCAGCCTGAACCGGGAGCGCATGGAGGAGAGAAGAGCTTACTTTGACTTGCAGACGCACGTAGGGCCCTGCCCCACTGGTCCCCGCACCCCGCGCACTGCTCTTGGTGGCTGCGTGCTCAGGGCCCCTTTCTCATGGTGACCTCAGGCCAGCACCAGGTCCTTTTCTTCCCAGAACTTGAGATGTCACTGTTAAGGACGGCCTGATAATACTGTGTGTGTGCCTGTGCATGTGCGCATGTGTGTGCGTGTGCGCATGTGTATGCCTGTGCGTGTGTGCGCCTGTGCGTGTGCCTGTGTGTGCGCATGTGTGTGCGTGTGTGCCTGTGCGTGCGTGTGTGTGCGTCTGTGTGCGTCTGTGCGTGTGCATGTGCACAGTGTCTTTGCTCTTTGGTGGATGTGCGACTGAGGGACACTGACACTCCTCTGTGCCCACGGTGCTGTAGATTTCCCCGTCAGCTCCCTGAGTTCTCAGTTATGTGAGGTTGGAAGGAGACGTGTCCCCGTTTCACAGGTGTTAAGCTCAGTGGTGCGACAGTTGCCCAGCCACATGCTGTTACGTGTGAGAACACTGCCTTCCTCAGGAGGGAGGGCTGGGGGAGCCGGACCACACACACTGTTGAGTAGAAGCAGCACTGCTCCATTGGGTCGCAGCTCCTGGCTCCTCTGGTTCAGCTATTTGGGGAGGAGGACGTGAGATTGTCCCCTGACGCCCGGCTCCTGGTGGGCTCAGTGTGCTTCTCCGTGTTCACTCAGGTGATCCAGGTGCCTCAAGGGAAGTACAGAGTGTTACCGACAGAGCGGACCAAGGTCAGCTCCTACCCAGTGGCCCTCATCCCCGGACAGTTCCAGGAGTATTACAAAAGGTACTTGCCGTTCGTGCTGGTGTGGCTGAAGGACGGAGCCATGCGTGGGGCCCTGCAAGGGTTGCGCTCTGCACGTGCTCAGACGTGGTCTGGGCGCTGGGTCCGTCTGTCTCCTGTGGGTCTGGATGTCTTCTGATGGAGCATCTGCTGGCCGAGCGCTGACTGCCCATCTCCTGGCCCCCCTTGTGCTTCTGGGCAGGAGCTGGGCACCTCGCTTCCTGGGGGTCCCTGCCCCAACAGTGTGTGTCACCAGGAGGTTACGGGAATGCAGGCACAGCCCCTGGCCCGGGCCGCAGTCACAGCACTGCCCGCCTGGCAGCGGCTCCCTCCTCGTGGCCAGGTGCCTGCATCTCGTTCCGGCCGGGTGGGGCTGGGTCACCACTAACGGTCACTGTGTCAGAATGTCAGCTTCTGCGTCAGGCTTGACCCTGTGTTCTTTATGATAGAGGATATGATTTAGAGTCGTGTTTAAAATAGACTGTAGGGCAATACTATTTGAAAGTCCAATTTACATCGTGGGTCAGCAGATTTTAATTTTTTAAATATTTGAGTCAGCAAATTATTAAAGTGAGGTGCCAGCAACCAAGCCTGTGTCTGCTGCGGCGTCTCAGCCAGGGTGGCGCTGCTCCGGCTCCAGCTCGGGCTCTGGCGGCTGGGCCCGTGCTGTGCCCCCGCTCAGGTAGACGCTCAGGCGGACGCTCAGACTCTCAGGCAGACGGCCTGGCTCCTGCAGCACCTGCCTCACCAGCTGCTTGTGTGACTTGTGCTGAAACGTGCTTCATCGACGCTGTGTCCTGGCAGCGCTGGACCGCGGGCTGGTTTCTCGAAGCCGCGTGCGGTCCCTGCTCTGGGTGGGGCTGCGGTAGCGCACAGGCGGAACTGGGGTGGCGGGCGCCCGTCGGGTTCTGCGTGGCCGTGGTTTTGCCCTGTCTGCTGACGTTTTTATTGCCTTACTGTTCTGGGATGAGGGTAAAGGAGAGAGTCATGTCTTGGTAATTAAGGATCAAACGCATATTTTACACTTAGTTTGCTGAACAAATGTTTAGGCTTTTTATTTATTACCTGTACCTCCTTGATCATCAAAAGGAAACATAATTTATTGCCTTGAATCATTTTCACAAGTATTTGGGGTAAATTGAGAAGGTGAGTCATTTGCTTGATGAAGGAACGTGAGCTGCACTCTGAACCTCAGGTACTCGCCGGATGAGCTGCGCTACCTGCCCTTGAACACGGCGCTGTACGAGCCCCCGCTGGACCCCGAGCTGCCCGCGCTCGACAGCGATGGCGACTCAGATGACGCCGAAGACGGGCGTGGCGATGAGAAGAGGAGAAGCAAAGGCACTTCGGTGAGACCCTTTGTCTTGCAGGGGCGCTGGCTCCTCCCCCTTCACACTGTCCCAGCCGCTTTCCTGGAAGAAGGTCCTCCGACCTCTGTCCATCCGACCTCTGTCCCTGCTCTTTCTGAATGCGGCTGTCGCAGAAAGGCTTTGTGGAGACGCGCTCTCTGTTGTGTGCGTTGGCCCCTTCGTGGTTCTCAGCACCGCGGGCCCAGGGCTCTGGCGCTGGCTCACAGCCTCGTGTCGCGCCCTCTGGTTCGGGCACCTGCACTGTGTTCCTGCCGCTGGAAGGTGCTTTGGGAAGATGTCATGGTGACTGACCGTGTGCTGTGCTGTTAGGTGTCCTGGGTGAGGCTTTTGGTTTTTTTGGCATCAAACGCGCAGGCAAGTCAGTGGGAAGTGGTGGCTGGTGGCACTGCAGAGCCAGGGGGCGGCCTTTGCACTCAGCAAATGGCCTGCACCTGACCAGGCGCTGCCGTTAAACCTCAGTACGTTTCTTGTTCACCAATAGGTTCTGAAACATAGTTCGTGACCTGTGTCTTATAAAGTCGGGTGCTGCTCAGTTATTACAGTGACTCCCCTTTCCCGTCTTGTCGACTGGTGAGGGGGTGGCTCAGCTGACCGTCGCCCACCTTGTGAGCAGTGGTTTCAAGGACCGGCCTGTGGGAGAGGGGCCGACAGTTGTGCCGAGACTCTCGGCTCCCATGGGCGGGTTCTCAAACAGCCCACGGGACTTTCTGGGGGCTCGCTCAGATGCGGACAGAATTTAATTAGGAAAAAGTGTCTATTAGCGTGTTAACAGTAATTCTTTATTGTGGAAGTTAGAAATATATCTCATGTTGACAGTGGGGGAATAAATTCTATTTACATGATAGAAAGGCAGTTGAAAGAATATTATGTGATAAAATGCACATAACACTTAAAAATAGGACACACCTTCACACAAACACACGCGCACACACCATGTGATCCAGACTTGTGTTTCTCAGAACGAGCGCACACGTGTCTGGGTGTGTGCAGCCACGCACGGGGCGGGGCACACGTGTGTCCCCGGGAGTCGTCTTAGGGTCAGGGTGTGGGTCGCCGTGGCTGTGGACGGCCTGGTTTTTAGATTTTCAGTTTCCATAATTTATATGAACATAACATTTTCATTTTTTTAGAAAATATTAAGTTAAAAAGTGAATGAAGTGACGAGATGTTGAACCCTGAACCGCGAGTATCAGCTGTGTCGGGTGCTCGGCGACCCTGGCCCCGTGTCATCTGACGTGGGTGTTGGGCGAGCTTGTTCAGGACTGGGGTTCTCCGCAGTGCCCACTTGTTCACAGGTGTGTTTCTAAGGGTGTTTGTATCCGGCCACGCAGGACACGCACTGTGGGGTGGGTACACGCAGACACCGGCTCCTCGGGCCGCGCCAGGGGACACGGTGCTGTCGTGTGCTCAGGAGACAGTGCAACTTCACCTTCCTTCCTTTCGTCTCCACCAGGAAAAGTCTTCTTATGTTTAGAGTTATCTTTTTATTTTTAAGTTGATGGAACTTACATTTTTTAAAAAACATTTTCTGTGGTTTTCACAAGTTAGACTTGAACCTGTGAGAGTTCTGAGGCATGTCTGTCCTTTGCCCTGCAGGACAGCTCCTCCGGCAACGTGTCCGAGGGTGAAGGCCTTCCCGACAGCCAGGAGGAGCCTTGCCCGGGCCGACCGAGACCCAAGGACAAGGCCGCCACGCCCAGGAAGGACGCTTCCAAACGTTCTGTACTGTCCAAGTCGGTTCCTGGGTACAAGGTAGAAGAAAAAAGCCCCTGACTCAGCTTCCTCCTTGACCAGCCTCTCTCCCTGAGACAGTTTGCTTTTGACTTTCAGAGTCGTGGGGCTGCTGCTGCCGAGCCTCCCCAGCTGTCCCCTGGCCTGCGCCTCTGTCAGCTCCCTCTGTCGGCTCTGTCTCCCGGTGGCTTTCTGTCCCTTCGGCTGTGGTTTAGCTTCTGTTTTCTGTGTGTGTACACCTTATGAAAACCTTTCTTTTTCTTTTAAATAAGCAGGCAAGTATGGGTTTTAAAAATTATTTAATAGGCAGTTCTTGACGCTTTGTTTCCTCGGAGTGAAGGTCGTCGCGATCTGACATTCACGCGTCTAGTGCCCGGGGACTGAACAGGTCGCGCCGGGCGTGTGGCTGGAGGAGCTGTAGGTCAGGCTGTGCTTTCCTGCTGCCTTCGGTCCACTTGTCAGATGCAGCCAGCGCGGGTAGAACACAGTGAGCCTCTGATCTGCGCTGTGATCATTTTGGCCGGCGGCCTGCGGGCCTGTCTTGTGCAGTGACCGGCTCGGATGTGCTGGGGCCTGGTTTCAGCTGGCTGTTGGCGTGTCATCACCACCGCATGTCTTCCTGAGCCTGCCTCCCCTCAGAGGCCAAGGCGAGGTGTGCGTGGGGCTTCGGGTCACCATGGAGGGCGGGGGCAGCTGCAGGCTTCACGTTCTGGGTGGTGTGAGATGCTGTTGTTTGGTCTGGGACGTATCGGATATGCGCTTCGCTGTGTCGTGAAGGTGTTTCGGAGGCGTGTCCAGCAGCGAGGAGGTCTCACTGGGTAGGACTCTCAGCACCTGTCACGTGTTCGGTCAGGACTGTGACGAGGACAAGCGGGGCCCAGTGAGCTGCCAGCCACGTCCCTGGGCCTGACCAGACCCTTCCGACAGCCCCTGCAGTGAGAGGCGCCGCAGTCAGTGTCCTCCACACGTAGCACCTGCACGTAATCATCTGAAAATTCATGTTTTCAGCACAAGGCAGACAATGAAGCTTCATTCAGCAGGTTTGGCTTCCAAGGGTGTGAACAGGCTGCAACTATGTGATTGATTTTTATACTTATTTTTACGTATATAACTTACCTGATTTTTTTTAAACTAAAGGTTTAAGTTAGTGCTTAATAATTAAAAGCAAGTGAACTCCAAAGATTAGGTTTTGGAAGGTTAGCCTGGCGTGTGCTGTGCGGTGCAGTGGCCGCGGGCAGAGGCGTTGCGGTGAGACTGGGTGGCCGTGGCTGAGAGGACGAGGGGTGGGTCGTCCATGGAGGCTGACGTGGAGCAACAGGGCTGCGGCTGCCCGGTGTGCGGGGCACAGTGTCCTGGGTGGACGCGCCAGGGCACCCGCCTGGGGCAGCTGGTTCCGACTTAGTGTAGAAACGTGAACATGTGCATTAAACGTTAACCTCTGTGAAGTGTTAATAAGCCAAGATGTGCCTCAATACTAGGATACTTCAAGCCGAAGGTCATAGCATCAGGGTTCTGAATGCGGGAGCTGAGAAGAGTGAAAACTGTGTGATGTCGTGCTGGGCCGCGGGGGACAGCGCTGTTGAGGCTCCGCCAGCCTGCGTCGCGTTTGTGAGACAGACCTGCGCTGCGTTGGTGCTGCCGCGCACGTCTTGCGTGTCTCTGGTTACTTTTCAAGAAGGAAGATAAATGTCTTGTGAGCCTGTCAGCTGAGGTGCTGAGGACTCAGGCGGGGGTGGTGAGCATATGAATCTTCTCGCAGTAGTGAAACGGTGTTGCGGGGATTGAAGTGGGGTCGACGGCCTCGGCTGACATGCGTAGGGTCCGTTCGTTGATGTGCAGACGGCTCTGCGTATTCCCGGCCTCCTCCCGAGCCCAGCACACGCTGCGATAGCGCCCCAGCGACGGCCGTCCGCCGGGCCAGGTCCTGGTGGGCAGGGCTCCTGAGTGAGGTCTTGAGCGAGCAGAGCCTTTCCTGCCCTGAGCCCTGGACGCCTCTCAGAAAGTGCTGGGAAACAGCCCAGCCTCCGCCTCCCCTCCTCCCTCGCCCTCCACCCATCTCTGTCTCCATCACGACGAAGACTGGGGTAAGGAAAAGTGTAAGTGTTTATTTAACAAACATGATTTTAAGCTTAGAAGTTAAGCCTAGAATTTTCTTGGTGTCCCTCTTATCATAGGTGTTTCGTGTGTATTTTAACAACTGTGGACCTTGACATCGATCTAGAGCGTGAATGACTAGCCTTGTGTTCTGCTTCTTTTGGCTTCTGGAAGGAGCTCCTGTGCGTAGCTCTGCGGAGTTCACTGTGGTGGCACTTCCCGGGCGCAGCGGAAGGGTCAGAGCATCATTGTGTGTCTCGTGCACTGCGAGAGGCAGATGAGTCTCTTCTCTGTAGCACAGGTGGCGTCACTGAGATATTTCTTACTCCGGTGGCCTGGGAGGCAGTGCCAGCTCCCACGTGACCGAGCACTCGGCCCAGAGGCACGTGCTGTGCTGGGGCAGGCAGGGCCTCGGCCCAGAGTAGGTGCCAGCAGGGGGGCTCACCCAAGACCGAAGGTTGGAGCATGTGACACGATCCTTTGTTGGGGGAGCAGGGTATAAGGTATACACGCAGGAGCTGTAGATTAGTTACTGGTAAAGTTTTATATGTATGTTTTACTTCCATGATATTTATTATTTTGTAGAGATATTGTGATTGTTTAGAGTTACTGTTTTTATTATATTTATGTATAAGGTTGACTTTTTAAAATAAATAAGCCAAAAATTATTTTTGAATGCCTCTGTCATCTTTTGCAAAGAAAGACAATTAAAAAAGTAAAACCGCTTAAATAACTAAGAACAAATAGTTTAGGCCAACAGGCTCCGAAGGCAGCAGTGAGATCTTTCAAAGCTGGAATACTGATCACCAGTTGGAGCTCTGTTCAGGCGTCTCTTTGGCTCAGTGACCTAGAGAAGGGAACTGTAAGATGTATTTGGCTAGGTTGGACTGAAACAGAATTCTGTTTAAAATAATGTTTCTCCCCGTGTACATATGTGCCCCCAGCCCCCATTTCACACTAGGCCACATTTCCTCTGCCTTCTCCCTGCTCCTCACCTGTCCACAGAGCATCAGTGAGCATCATCCACTGTGACGTGCAAGTGTCTCCCTTTCCGGGAACTCTAGGTGCAGTGAGCCCGCTTTGTTCTTCTCCATGTTGCCAAGTGGTTTCAGAGCCCAAGTATCTTCATTGGATTGAGCATGTTTTTAATGTGAAAAATGAATGGTACTCAAAATATAAGGGTGTCTCCGTATTTTTTTAAGTGATAATTCTTTTCTTGTTTGAAAACTTGCATATCTCATATACTGAATGCTTTTTCCCTAAACGTGGCCTTTTAATGTTAAATATACAAAGGAAATAATCTCACATTGGTATTCCGGAAACATTTATACACATGACAATGTCTACATGAGCCATATTTCCATTAGGTGTTAAAACCTCGGTATTGTAATTAGATTTTATAGTCTAGTTTTACAGCTTTGGGAAATGTCAGTGATTAAACAAAATCAGTGTATAAGAAGCTTCTTAAAACTGAGTCTTCTCTTCTGTGATGAGCCTGCCTTCGTAATACTGGTCGTTGGGAACTAGGGTTTTCTCTTCCAGTTAGTAGTGCATCTGGCATTGTGTTTGGTCCCCGTTCACCACAGTTACTGTGCGCGTAGGCAGTGGAGAAGGCCACGGGTCCTCCATGAGATCACCGCTGACAGGCTTTTAAAATGAAATCTGAGGCTTAGGAGGCCATTGTATGTTGAAAGCAGTCATGTCTTGCAGGTCCTCACTAGAGGTACCAAAAGTAAAGATAAGGCATACTTAACAGCATTCCTTTTGAACCCATAGCAAGTTCTTCTGGCATGAATTTATAGCCCTCTTCTACCCTTCCAGCCAAAGGTCATTCCAAATGCTCTATGTGGAATTTGTCTGAAGGGTAAGGAGTCCAACAAGAAAGGGAAGGCTGAACCACTCATACACTGCTCCCAGTGTGAGAACAGTGGTAAGTACCCACCTCTTCTGCCACTTTCCCCGCCGCCCGTGTAGCTGTCAGCTAGACCGCACTGGAGAATGACCAGCCAGTGTAGGGACCTCGTAAGGTGTAGGTTAAGTCCATGCATCTTCTTCAGCTCTGCGTTTCATTTTTCCTTGGCAGTGAAACATCATAGCCATTCTTGAGAAATCAGAAAGCAACTAGCATTTTATGATGCCATGTTAAGTTAAGAATTCCTGTGTGAATTGGTGAATCCTACTAACACTGGTTTTGGTTTAGGCCACCCTTCTTGCCTGGATATGACCACGGAGCTTGTTTCTATGATTAAGACCTACCCTTGGCAATGTATGGAATGTAAAACTTGCATTGTATGTGGACAGCCCCACCACGAAGAGGAAATGATGTTCTGTGATATGTGTGACAGGGGTTACCACACTTTCTGTGTGGGCCTCGGTGCTATTCCATCAGGTAAAGATCACAAACAGAAGGAACCCCCTTTCAAGGGGATCCTCCCAGCGTTTTCTTTAAGAGCCACAAACACCACGGTGACCTGAAAGGCCTGTGCTGACTGCCTAGTTCACACCCACCTGCTCCCCGTGCCCAGCCCTCCCCACCGGAGGGCAGATGCCGCTCTGGGCGCCTGGCTAAGCCTGGCAGTGGACCTCAGGGTGGAGGAGCCCCCAGTCTCCTACCGAAATAGCTAAAGCAGCAGCATCAATTTATTTCAAAGCCTTCATTTTATTTTCATGTGTCACCAGTACAGACGCTTAACGTAGCGAGTGCTGTGCTCTGGACACATCGGGCCAGGTTTCTATCATGGAGGCAGCACACCAGTGTTAGGTGACTTCAGAATGAGCACAAAGCTGAATGAATCACAGTAACTGGACTGAAACATTACACACATATTGTGTAATTTCAGAACTCATTTGCATAGTTAACACTGTATATAATGCTTTATAAAATAATGCCTAGAACTACATTTCCTGGGAATCACTAAGAAGCAGACAAATAATTATCTGAAGTTATGCCATCATTCCGATCAAGGATGTGGTACAACTTGTCACCACGCCATCCAACACTCGGTCAGTGATGAGAGCCGTGCCTGCCGCGGTCCAGCAGGACAGAGAGGAGGTACCATGGCTGCCAGGGAGCAGCAGAGAGGGTTGAGAAGAGTTGACTCAGGGACTGGCTTTATCAGGACTTGAATTACAGAACTCTGCGAGCACTGTAGTGTTTGAGTTTCAGAAAGGATCATAATTTTTTTAGGTTCGTATCATCACATAGTAGCGCCCTTCCTACCACGAATCCACAGAGGAATATCATGAGTGACAGCTCAGGAAGGAGCCAAATGGGTTTCAAATTCGGTCCTAATACAATTCATTCTATATTAACTAACCATTTTTCTCCTAGGTCGCTGGATTTGTGCCTGTTGTCAGCGAGCCCCCCCAACACCCAGGAAAGTGGGCAGAAGGGGGAAAAACAGCAAAGAGGGATAAAATAGATTTGACCCCAATATTGTAATATGCATTTAAGTGACTTATTTGGTGCCAATTCATTTACAATACTCATTTTTATGCAATAAAAGATTTTTGAACTTAACTATGTGCTTAGAATCTGCAAGTTGATTCATTTCTATTATAAGCTGCTGTTACCCTTGGAAGCAGTTTCTGGAGGAGAAATCGGTGGTTATCTCTCAGTACCTTGGGTCTCTTCAAAAACTCAGTGGAAGTGTAAGGCAATTTCATTTGAAATAATTATCCCTCCATTAGCCTGAAAGTTACTATTTTCACCAGATTTTCCTCATCTATTGTTTCTGGCCTACCAGACACCACCACAAAGCCCAGTGAGTAATGGGAGACTCCTCCACCTGGCGCAGCGGGGCTGAGCCTTCATTAGCCTGCACCGCCACCTGCGGGGCGGGCGTGGGGGCGGGGCGGGGCCTGCAAGCCTGGGAAGTGGGAGGCTGCGTTGCAGACTTGCTCACACGTTACTTTGTTTCTCGTCTCTGACAAAACCACGCCCTTACCTGTCTCCCCATCTGACCTGTGGACCTGTGTGGGAGGTTGCTCTTTCCTGCCAACCTCAGTTGCTGCAGTCTTTCTTTTCAGTCACCCGACGAGCTAATGGAAGTGGAGTCCAAACGTTTTATTGTGCGCACTCCTTTTACAGGCAGTTTGCTCTTTAAAAGAAAACAAGTACCGAGCCTGCCGCTGCTGCTTGTGGGGTGACTGAGGTAACAAAACTATGGCTTGTATTTCCCACCCGCCAACCCGAAAGGCAGGTGTCCGGCCGGGGGACCGCTGGTCCAGAGCCGGGGCGCGTCGGGGATCAGAACAGGATCTCGAGCACCAGTTTGAGGAGGCCGATGAGGACGGTGCAGAGCACGGACTCCTCCTCCTGGGACGCGCCCTCCGCGCCGTAGGTGTGCGCGGGGCTCGTGTCGGCGCCGTCGGGGTACGCGGGGTCCCCGAACGGGTGTCGCTGGGCCGACCTGTCGAGATAGACTTTCATTTCGAACTCGCTGTCCTGGTGCGAGGGGTGTCCGTACACCCCGATCCCCACGGGGCGCTGGAAGTGCGCGGGGACCAGCACCACGTCGGGGCCGCAGGTGGCGGCCTGCAGCTCGTAGTCGTCGAAGCTGGGGTGCAGCGTGCTGTCGGACACGTACAGGTCCGCGTCGCCCCGCAGGCTGCGCATGGCCAGGACGATCCTGCCCTCGTGGTTCAGCCTCAGGTAGCTGTAGTTCCCGGCGCCCACCTGCCCCTGGACCACGTGCAGCAGCAGCCACTCGGCCGGGACCTCCTCGTCCTGCGCGGCGCTCGCCCGGGGCGCGGCCTGAGCCGCCAGCAGCAGCAGGAGGGCGCCCTTCCAGGGGGCGGCCATGCCGGGACCCCTGCGGACCACACGGCGCCCTCAGCACCGCCGCCCGGGGTCCCTGCGGCCGGTGCCGGCGCGCTCGGCGGGGCGCGGCGAGGCGGGAGGGGCGCGGGGAGGCGGGGCGGGAGGGGGCCGGTCGGAGCAGGGCCGGGGCGCGGGGCGGCGGGGGCGGGTCAGCTCGCGGGCGGGGGCTCACTGGGGCGCGGGGCGCGGGGGGCGGGGCAGCCGGAGGGCAGGGCCGCCTGCGCCCAGGACTCACCACCGCTCCCCGCAGGGAGGCTGCCGGGAGGCTGCGCCGGAAGACCCGAAAGTGAGGCGGCGCCCGGAAGTGACGCCACTCCGGAAGTGGGCCGAAGGCTGGACGTGAGGAGGCGCCGGAAGTGATGGAACACCGGGTTCTCGCGAGAATGACGGAAGGGGCGTGGCGCTAAGCGGCGTCTGGGCTGTAACCACGGCGACGGGGAGGGGGCGGGGCCCACGCCCGTGGCTCTCCGCGGGCTCGCCTGGTTCCCCTGTACCGTCCTGGGCTCCCCTGGACTGAGCGTCCCCCCGCGGGGTCCCCAGGTACGCGACCGGGGCGCTGAGGGGCGTCCAGGACCCCCGTCCCCGTTCCTGCCGAGGACATGGCGCTCTGGAGCGCCCGGGACGCGGGGTGCGCGGCCGTCTTCCCCGGGCGCTCGTGGGCCGGTGTCCGGCCGCTGTGGCCGCTGCACGCGACGCCCCGGCGGAGGGCGACGGGCGCCAACGCCGCCGGGTGCGGGTTCCCGGCCGCCCCGCCGCGGGCAGTGGGTGGAGGCCGGCGGCCGGGCGGCCGGTGCCCCGCGTGGCGTGGGCGGGGGCCGCGGGCTGGCTCCCCGCTGCGGGTGCGTGGCCTGAAGGTGGGAGAAGCTGTATCTGCGGCTGGTCTTTGCCCAGCGCTGGGGGTGGCGTTGGGGTTCCGTCCCTGCTCCTGCAGGAAGGGTCTGGTCGCCAGCGCGCACCTGCGCCCTCCGGGGTCACCACCCCTTTACTTCCCTGTTGCTACAGCAGTCAGACGGGGGGAGAGGGCACCGCGCGGGGACACCTCGGGACCTGTCACCACGGAGGGGAAATGAGTCGGCGACTCCAGCCTTGTGCCCTTTGGCAGCAGCCAATGACCGCGCTCACCCGACAGATGGGGGGCGGGGGGCACAACCGTGCACGACCTGTGGTCTGGGATCGGAAAGTCTGTGAAGTCAGGTTTCCCAAAGCCATGTGCAGGTTTGAAAATTAAAACCTCAAAATATAGCCCTGGCCGGTTTGGCTCAGTGGTTAGAGCGTCGGCCTGCGGTCCAGAGAGACCCGGGTTCGGTTCCGCTAAGGGCATGTACCTCGGTTGCAGTTTGTCCCCGGCCCTGGTTGGTCGTGCGGGTGGCAGCCACTCGATGTGTCCCTTTCACATCGATGTTTCCCTCTCTCTCTTCCTCTCTCTCCCTCCCTCTCTATCTGTACAAAAAATGGAAAAATGTCCTCGGGTGAGGATTAAAAACAAACAAACAAAAAACCTCAAAATATAAAGAGCAGTGTTATCTTCTAGAACTTGGAGTAACTTGGGTTCAGGTCCTCTCCTCTCCCTCAGCCCAGGCATGCCACAGCCCTGCTCTGCAACCTTCAATGGCTCCCTCTTCTCTCCTTCTTAAGGACAGTTTCCTTGATGGCATTGCATGCTGCCCACCACCTGACCCGGCCACTTTTCTAGCCTTATCTCCTACTCTTTCTTGCTCCTAATTCCCTAGTCAAATCGAACTACTCTTTCCCACCTCTATGCCTTTGCTCAGGCGGTGCCCACTGCCGGCTTTGCCCTTTACCCTCTGCTGGCTGTGAAATCCTGTTCCTCCTCCACAGCATAGGGTGAATCCCATCTCCTTCAGAGAGTCCCTCTTTATTCCTTAACCAGATGTGGTTCTTTCTCCTGAATCTCACCTTGAGAACTTGAATCCCGGCTTTACCACCAACTCTTGTGAAAACACCTGTCCCCCAGGAAGAACGATCTCTCTCCCATTCCAAGCCTGCAATATGCTGTTCTCAGTGTTGCCCAGGACGAGTTAGGTGTCCCCTTTCTTTACCGGGGCATGAGGACTGGACACCTGGACCTCACCTACACATCACTGTGCACAGGGTGCTCTGACATGCTCAACCCATGTGCCCCCCCAAAAAAAAAGTAAAAAAAAAAAAAAAAAAAGGAGTAACTTGGGAAAGGACGCAAAGACATAGAAACGCCCCAGTGTAAGCTGGTGCTGTTCCCACAGGTGCTCTCAACCCCCGCTTTGCTTCCTGCGCCCTGCGGGGCCGGTGGGCCCTCTCCTGTTCTGGTGGAGTGAGCTTCACGTGTTCTTTTGCTGTGAAGTGCACCATCCAAGGTGCTTTATTAAGACATCACGTACGGTTTCTACAGAAGTTCAGCATGCGATGTAGCAACCTGACTGTGTTTCGGAAGTCAAGGACAAAACTGCACATTTCAGGCTTGCTCAGCTACCAGAAGAGAAGGACTTGACTTTCTTTAATCAGAAGAGGGCGATGTTCTCACCTGAAAGTAACCGCACAAACCTACGCAGGAAAAACGTAGGAGTTTAACGGCCTTTAGCAGCGGTACCACTTGAGTAGTAGATGACGATTATGGTTTTCCCTGGTTTGGGTTTTCTAATTTTGTACAGTTTAGATGTACTGCTTCTGTATTACCAAAGGGTCTTGAATGAACCATTGCTGCCTGATTGTTTTCTGACGTAACTTTAAAGCAGTGGTCTCTCCGGCAGCAACCTGTCCCCATGTTCCCTGCCATGCTTGCGTAGTCTCGATACACTAGAATCTCACTGAAAAACAGCTGAGTGCATCCTCAGATGTGTTCTTGTGCATGTCAGACGTCCACACTGCTGTACTGAGGGGTGCACGGCAAGCAGAGGAGGTCTGGGGGAAGTTTGACTATTCTCTCTGTATTTAAAAAAAAATCCTCACTCGAGGATATTTTTCCATTTTTTTTAATCTTCAGATAGAATTTGTGTGTGTGTGGTGGGGGGGAGGCAGAGAAAGGGGAAGAAAAACATTGATGTGAGAGAGACACATTGATTGGTTGCCTCCCACACGGCCTGGACCAGGGCTGGGGACCCAAGTGCAACCCAGGTACGTGCCCTTGACCGGAATAGAACCTGCGACTCTTTGGTCCGAGGGCCGATGCTCTAACCGCTGAGCCAGACCAGCCAGGGCCTCTGCATTTTTAATGTTTTGCACTGTATTGCTTTTGTAACTAACAAAGTTAAACATTTGTATCAGTGAGGGAGGCTAATGCTGGAGCCAACAACCCCAACAGATAGCAGTTTGTTGCTTCTCACAGGGCCCCATGTGGAAGCTGAGGAGGGGCACTACTTAGGCGTCTTTTTCTAAACTGAGACTCAGAGCCTCTTTTTATCTTGTGGTTACCGCTTCCATAGACCCTGCAGATCCTTTGCAGTTAGCCTGTGGGTGGAGGAGGAGAGAGGATCATGTGTGGGAACGTTTGATGGGCCAGGTTTGTGAGAGGCCTGCATTACACATGCCCATAGGCACCCTGTCCCCGCTGTCCTGGCCAGAACTCAGCCACAGGCTGGCACCTAGCTGCCAGGGAAGCCGGGTCATGTGGTTTCCAGAAGGAAAGGAAATGGCTTGGTGAACAAGGGCAGCTCACACGGAGAACCCGCATTCCAGGGAACTTCCAGTCAGGGCGGCAGCGTGGCACAGTTCTCTTCGTCAAGGCCGGTGACCTCTGGACTAAAACACGGCCCTCTGCTCCCACTCCAGAGCGCAGGGTTAGACGTCCCCTCGGCGGTGTTTCGGCTCCCGGCCCAGACAAGCAGCAGAACCGCAAGTGGTGCCAGGGCCGGGCTGCCTCAGGGCCCGCTGCAGTGACCAGGGCCCCCGCCCTGGTGCTGACCAGTCAGTGGAGGCCAGGACCCCGAAAGGGCGACCTGGAACCCTGGTGACTCTTCTGCTGAGACTCCCCTGAGACCCCCACCTGCAGCAGAGGCGATGGCTCCGGAGGAAGGACCCCGAGCGCTCGTCCCCAGGGGAGCGCCAGCGCCGTGCCCCTCCCTCGAAGGCGCCCCCGAGGCTTGCAGCCAGGGGAGCAGTGGGCAGCTTGTCCCAGGCTCACCCCTGAACCTGTGCCGAGGCCCCTTCCCTCTGACCCAGGAGCAGAGCAGCCCCGGCCTCCAGGAGCTTCTTCCAAGCCCGTCCTCGCTGCACCGTCCCGAGCGTGTTCTGGCCGCGGCCATGGATTCTCGCTGTCTGTCCCGCACTTTGCCTCGTGACGAAATCTTTCCTTCGAGAGGACAAGAGCCAGGTCTCACCGTCTCGCCACGAACACCTGCAAGCTCCCTGGGGCTCACTGGGGGGCTGGGTCGTGGGGGGACCTCTGTGCTTTAGATCCGTTGTCTGCAGTTTCGTGCCGACAGTGAGATTTTTTCTAAAATTATAAAGAAATTATAATTTTAAACAAAATATTCTATTGTCCCAACATGTTAAATTCTGAGTTACGATGTTAAATAGGATGTGGTTTTTGGTGATGCCCCAGAGTGGACCATGGCTGACAAGGGCCCCTGTTCTGGTGTGCAGGCTGGGCCAGCTCCTCTCCCTCCGGAGGTACCTAGGGACCTTGGGGAGCCCCTCCTAGGGACCTTGGGGAGCCCCTCCTAGGGACCTTGGGGAGCCGGCAGGACAGCTGCTCTGGGAGGAGCCACACTGACTGAGCAGGGATCCCTGTCTCCTCCTCGCTGGCTCCTGCCCACCCTCCTCCCAGCTGAGCGGGGTGAGGGGCTCTGCGCAGCTGGACTCTACTCACCTTCCGCTGTCCTCACGTTCTAGGAGCTGTGCGCCAGAGGACTGACCAGGAGCCGGGGCTGGAGAGACAGGCAGTGTGGTTCCCTAACCCTAACCAGACCTCGGGCACCTCCCCCGGGTCTTTCCCAGGTGCACCTCAGTGGGGTCAGGCTGGAAGGAAGGGGGGCACTTTAAATTCTGGCTTACCTCAAATTTTAACTCCCCAAGAGAGAAAGGTATTTCAGCCGGGGGAGGGGAACAGGACTCGGCGGGGTGCGCTTGCTTCCTGCTCAGGCAGAACTCCTGTGGGTAGTGGGTCACCGGGATTTGGCCAAAGCGGTTTTGAATTGTCGCTCTACACCTGGGTGGGCTTTGGCACCATGCCAGGACGCCAGGCAGCTCTGTGACTGTGACCCCGGCCTCACGGGGCGCTGCCTGAGAGCTGCAGGCAACGGGGTCACGCGGGCACCAGGCACTGCTGTGGGGCGGGCGCCGCCCAGGCGGAGGCTGGTGGCTGGCTGTGGCGTCCCGCCCCTGGGGCCTCGCTGGGGGACCCCTGCTTCTGTTTCTCACCTGTGGGGGGGAGGGGAACCCAACTTGAAAGGACCATTGTAAGAATTGGATGATATAAAGTATTTATTGACACACAGATGCTTGTTAATATTTGTGAAAGTGATTTGTAAACTGTAAGTTGGTATAGAAATACTATTTCAAATTATTATGCTGAATTCTATAGGAATTTCAGAAGTGATTAAGGAAGTTTATGTTAAAGAGATAAGACAATATTTAATCACAATCTGATGTGTGGATTCTTTAAAATTCTGAGAAAATGGAGTTTTTTGATATGGTCATTCCTTTCTTGAGATGTTTAATGCTTTCGAGAAGCGGTGGGAGGAGCCACAGCACAAAGTCGGGGCACTCGAACCCGGGCCGGCCACGGGCAGGGACACGCCCCTCCTCTCCCGTGGGGCTCACGCGCCCTGGCAGTTGCCAAGGCCGACCTGGAGGAGACGGGGCTTTAATGGAGACGACACATTTGTACTTTGTTTTTCTTCGCCCAGCGTGGGCACCAGGTGCTTAGGTTAGAGTGAGCCGGGCAGCGTGGAACCTGGTGGGCAAGGCCTTAGAACCCACCCAGACAGCATGGCGGCCAGAGGGTGGCCCTTTGCTCAGCGCTTGTTGCTGAGGTCCTGTCTGAGCGTGTGGGTACCTAGCGCCTGGGCTGAGGGCTGAGGGGAGCAGAATCCAGCGTGACTGAGGGCCAACACTGCCCACGGGCTAAGTGCCCTGTGACGGTCTGTGGGCGTGGGGCACGGCCAGGGTGCCTGGACGCGGCCTAGGTCACCGCTTCAGCTAGGAGGGTGGCCCCAGAGGGGTGGCTCCCCTTTCCCAGCTGTGGAAGCGGGTCTGAGTGGTCAGGTTGGTTTTGTTTGGAAGCTGGTGACGGAGTGGAGCGGTCATGGAGCGGGGCCCCAGGGTCTCCAGTGGCTTTCCCTTTTCTCGGGAGCAGGAGGGAGACGGTGAGATGGGGTGTGTGTGTGTGTGTGTGTGTGTGTGGTCACAGCCGTAATCATGGGCAAGAACAGCCTGCAGTGTGTGTGTGTGTGTGTGTGTGGTCACAGCTGTAATCTTGGGCGAGAACAGCCTGCAGTGTGTGTGTGTGTGTGTGTGTGTGTGTATGCACAGCCGTAACCATGGGTGAGAACAGCCTGCTGTGTGTGTGTGTGTGTGTGTGTGTGTGTGTGGTCACAGCTGTAATCATGGGCGAGAACAGGCTGCAGTGTGTGTGTGTGTGTGGTCACAGCCGTAATCATGGGCGAGAACAGCCTGCAGTGTGTGTGTGTGTGTGTGTGTGTGGTCACAGCCGTAATCATGGGCGAGAACAGGCTGCAGAGTGTGAGTGTGTGTGTGTGTGTGGTCACAGCCGTAATCATGGGCGAGAACAGGCTGCAGAGTGTGAGTGTGTGTGTGTGTGTGTGGTCACAGCCGTAATCATGGGCGAGAACAGGCTGCAGAGTGTGAGTGTGTGTGTGTGTGGTCACAGCCGTAATCATGGGCGAGAACAGGCTGCAGTGTGTGTGTGTGTGTGTGTGTGTGTGCGCGCGCACAGCCGTAACCATGGGCGAGAACAGGCTGCAGTCAGACGGGAACGTCACACCACAGCCCGCGTGTCTGCACCTGTGTTTTCAGGTGGAAGATGCAGGAACCACAGGGCTCCTCCACCAGTGACGGCCATGGGGGCGACGTGGTCGCGGAGAGGTACCTGGTGGAGTCTCAGCAGTCTGCGTCGCACATTCAGCTGGCGTGCCGCCCGCCTCTCTGCGCTTTCCCCCTGGACGGCACCGCGCTCTGCGTGTGGAGCTCCGAGGACCCCCCGCACCAGGTACCGGGTGTGCTCTCGTCGGGGCCTGTCCCGTCTGCTGACAGCGGTGGGACGTGAGCACAGCGGAGCGTTCTGTGAACCGTGATTTTGATAAAACAAATGTCTGAAATCACTTCATCAAAGTAATTCTTCAGTAAGAACTCGAGCAGGTTAATCTTAACACAGTCAAGACAAGTCAAAATTTTATGGGCTTTTAATGTTCACACATTTCAGGAAGATTGTTATGCTTTTGCAGGATCTTTTACATTAAACTGATAGAGTTTTAGAGATGTTAATTTTCATTCTAAATCTTATTTCATGACTGATGTAATTATTTGAATACGCTCAATAGAAACAGGCCCCACTGCACAGAGTGAAGAGTAAGTTGTGTCAACATGTCATGTCGGGTCTGGGAGTGGTGAGCACAGGGCAGACTCCCTCCCTCAGCCTTGCTGGCGACCACTCGGGTCCTGCTGGACGGGCGGCATTTCCACTGCCCCTGCTGCCCCCTGCTGCCCCCTGCTGCCCCCTGCTGCCCCCTGCTGCTCCCTGCTGCTCCCTGCTGCCCCCTGCTGCTCCCTGCTGCCCCCTGCTGCCCTCTGCTGCCCCCTGCTGCCCCCTGCTGTCCCCTGCTGCCCCCTGCTGCCCCCTGCTGCTCCCTGCTGCCCTCTGCTGCCCTCTGCTGCCCCCTGCTGCCCCCTGCTGCCCCCTGCTGCCCCCTGCAGTCCCCGTCTGCAGGACTGTCGATGCCCAGAAAGCCGTGTCCCAGACACTGGGTGCAGTCGGGGTGGTCGGGCGAGGTGGGTGCACCTGGGCGACCTGACCGCTGCATCGGCCCGGCCGCCCTTCCCCCCGCCCTCAGGGAGCCCTGTTCTCACTTCTAGCCCCGTAGGTCAGAGTTGCTCATGTTTGAGCTTGGGACGTGCATGATGTTGACGAGATTCCTCCTTGTTCGTTCTCAGTACTGTGGAGACCACCTTTGGTCCGTTCTCCTGTCGGTGGGTGTTTCTTTGACTCCACTGTGTGACCACGACACACATTCTCTATGTACTGGGCGTGTACGCCTGCCAAGTCACAGGCCATCATGTGTGTGGTTTAGCAGGAGACGCCAAGGAGACTCCCACAGCGGGGGGCCCTGTCTGCTCTCAGCCGTGTAGGCGAATCCTCATCTCTCCCTGCAGTCGGCCCTCTGCTGGGCACGGTGCTGATTGATTGTGATTTATGATTCTCTGCTGACTAGTGACATTTAGCTCCTTTTTGTACATTTATGGATCATTTTGCCATTTTCTCTTCTTAATCTTCATAAAGATTGATGTGTGAGTAGCTTTCAGATCAGTTGGCATTGTCTAGACTTTTATGTACATGAATCAGACAGTGTTTGCTCTTTTTGTCTGGCCGCTTGCATTCTGCAGCTGCAGCTGTTGGAGACGCCACGCCACCGTGTGCATCCACAGCTCACCGGAGGCTGCGCCACTGTGTGAGTGTGCGACACTTGCTTTTTCTGTTGGAGGACATTTCGGTTATTTTGTTCTCTTGCACAGAAAGGTGCTGTGAGTCTTTGCATGTCTCTGGTCTTCTGAACGTCAGTGAGGTCAGACTGGCCTGTTGTGCCTTCAGGTTCTGGGCGTTCTTGCTGGCGGATGTCTTCACGGGAGAAGTGGCCTTGATGCTGGGACCCTCCTCTCGGTTTCTTCTCTGGGATCTCAGTTCTCCACGGCCTTGGTCACTCTCTGAGGCCTTGGACGCGCGCGTGTGTGTGTGTGTGTACATATTCCAGTTCTGTGCAGTGTTTCTCGTGAACCTCATCAGGCGCTTGGTGCTGAGAACCGGCCTACGTGAGCGGAGGGCTCTCCTGGTCCTCGCGTTGGGTGAGGCCTTCGTGTCCGTCTGCCTGCTGTCCACCAGTGTCCAGCTGTGGGTGCCACAGCTCTGCACCAGCGAGGTCCTGCCCTGTCCACTCCGTCGTCCTGTGTCTCCTTTCAGCCTGATGCCGCCTCCACCCAGGACTGCAGCCTGAGACACGGGCTCTCCAGTGCTGTCCTTCCTCCCTCCGTGGCCACTGGTCTGAGCCTCCGTCTCACCTCCTAGTTCAGGCCCCAGTGTGTCTGGTTTGGAGTGTCTGGTCCCACCTGCGTCCCCAGCGCAGGTTCCCTTCTGTGCCTGCAGCCATGTCACGCCTCCGGGAACGCGCTGGCCAGCACCCCTTCGGCTGGCCCACCTCTGCTAGCGTCCCGTGTCCTGGGCTCGTGTGCCGCACAGCGGCCAGGCCCACCTCTGCTAGCGTCCCGTGTCCTGGGCTCGTGTGCCGCACAGCGGCCAGGCCCACCTCTGCTAGCGCCCGTGTCCTGGGCTCTGCGTGTGCCGCACAGCGGCCAGGCCCACCTCTGCTAGCGCCCGTGTCCTGGGCTCTGCGTGTGCCTCACAGCGGCCAGGCCCACCTCTGCTAGCGCCCCGTGTCCTGGGCTCTGCGTGTGCCGCACAGCGGACAGGCCCACCTCTGCTAGCGTCCCGTGTCCTGGGCTCTGCGTGTGCCGCACAGCGGCCAGGCCCACCTCTGCTAGCGCCCCGTGTCCTGGGCTCTGCGTGTGCCGCACAGCGGACAGGCCCACCTCTGCTAGCGCCCGGGTCCTGGGCTCTGCGTGTGCTGCACAGCGGCCAGGCCCACCTCTGCTAGCGCCCGTGTCCTGGGCTCTGCGTGTGCTGCACAGCGGCCAGGCCCACCTCTGCTAGCGCCCGGGTCCTGGGCTCTGCGTGTGCCGCACAGCGGCCAGGCTCACCCGGCTCTCCTTCTCCAGCTTCCTGTCGCCAGGCCTGGCCCAGCCCTGCGTGCCCGCCCTGGTCTCTGGGTGGTGAGCAGGGGAGGGGCTGTCACTCTGCCAGTGCGTCGGTGGAGACTCTGAGCTGCATGTGATGCTGAACTTGAGGTGGTCGTTTAGGAGCACGTAGGAATTTCAATAAATGAAAGTATGAAATCAGTATATTTGGGAAATCCAATCCACTTGGTTTCTTAGGTTTGAGGTTATATTATGGTCTTTTATTTTGTTACCGCTAATCTGTGATATTTTTGTGACATTTTTAGCTTCTAATCTTAAGAGGACACCACCAGCCCATTACCGCTGTGGCATTTGGAAACACAGGGAGCCCGCTGCTGGTCTGCTCCGCGTCGCAAGATTATGTCATAACGTGGGAGCTGCAGGAATGCCGTGAGCGCGCGCGTCGAGGTGAAGCCACTGCTTCTTTTTATCCTCACCTGAGGACATTTTTCCATTTTTTGTTCAGACAGAGTGGGAGGGAGAGAGGGAGAGAGAAACATCGATGAGAAAGGGACACATCGAGTGGCTGCCACCCCACACGACCCAACCAGGGCTGGGGACAAACCGCATCCGAGGTACATGCCCTTAGTGGGAACCAAACCCGGGTCTCTGGACTGCAGGCAGACACTCTAACCAGTGAACCAAACTGGCCAGGGCGAAAGCAACTTTAAACATTTACAAATGAACAACTTACCTTAAATACTTAGAAGCATACAGGGGTAGGATCCTGTGTGACCCCTGTAACCCTAAAATCAGATGTGGAACTGGGTGCCTGTCCGGGAGGCACACCCAGCCATTCAGACCCCTGCCCGTGGCCATGGACGCTGGTGTGCAGCCCAGTGGGTTTGCTGCCATGTGTCTCCTCACCGTGGAGTCTGAGCTCTGCGGCCCTGAGCTCCCAGGGAGGCTGGTGTGCAGCCCAGTGGGTTTGCTGCCATGTGTCTCCTCACCGTGGAGTCTGAGCTCTGCGGCCCTGAGCTCCCAGGGAGGCTGGTGTGCAGCCCAGTGGGTTTGCTGCCATGTGTCTCCTCACCGTGGAGTCTGAGCTCTGCGGCCCTGAGCTCCCAGGGAGGCTGCAGATTCTTCCCTTCGAGCACGGGGTGAGCTCGAGCTGAGGGAGGGAAGCACAGGCATGTCGTGGCCACCGCTGTGGACGCTGCGGTGTGCAGCCAGGTGTGGGCGGGCGTGGTGGACACGTTCATGAGGGGCGGTCCCTGAGGTGGCAGGAGCGGGGGGAGGCCTGGCAGTGCCTGTCCAGCAGAGGGATCGTGGTCTTGGGCCCTGGCGCCAAGGGCTCGCCTGTTTGAGGAGCCAGAGCAAGGCCGTGTGGGGAGGGCAGCACTGTCCGAGTTCTGTCAGATGGTGTCGAAACATTAGTGAGGACACATTAAGGAGCCACATTCAGAAATATAGGATTACACTTAAATCAAGTAATTTTAGGCAACAGCCTATAGAATAGTTCAAGCTCTTCTTTAGTTTATAGTGTGGTCACTGTAATATCAGTGTGTCACCACTGACATCTACACACATATGTATGGTGCACACATGTAAATACATACGTGCATACATGCACAGAAATATACAGACACATATAGCACCCACGAGCACACAGTACATGCATACCCACACATGCTGTCCACCCCCCCACAACATAGTACTCACATGTTACACAGTACACAGATGCATGCACACACACAAACACACGCACACATATAGTACACATGTTAAAATGCATATATAGCTCATGCATGCTACATAAATGTGCACATAAAACATATAGTGCATTCATACACATACACATGCATACATTGATAGCACACACAGGCACATAGGGTGCACACGTACACACACGGGCATACATGCCGTCTGTACACATGCCTGTAGTACACACACCTACACCAGCACATGCAGTGAACCACGTCAGGTGTCTGCTCCCTGCCGAGGTCTCTGCACAGGAGCCCCTTGTTCAAGGGCTGTGTACACGGAGTTGTTCTTCGGAGCCTCCGTGGACTTGGACGCAGGTGATGTGTCCGGGACAGCAGGCAGCAGCTGAGCCCTGAGCCGGGCTCCAGAGCTCTGCGGTGCCCGGATTTTATCTGCAGTGTTTTTAATAGTCTCCAAGAGCCCCCGGCGCAGGAAATCAGCCACCTGCAGGCGGTGGCCGAGGGGCCGCCTCCCCGCGATGCAGCTGCAGCCCTGCCTCTGGAACTGACCCTCATGACCGACCCGTAGGGGCCGTCCCGCGTGGGCTCGTCCTGGGCACCCTCCTGGGCACCGTGGTGTGCGTGCGGTACAGTCCGGATGACCGGGTCGCTGCGGTGTGCGCCGGCAATAAAGTGCTCGTGCTGGACGTCAAGGTGAGGGCGGCCGTGCGAAGGGCTGGGCGCTGGGGTCTGCCGGCCCCTTGTCAGCAGTGTTTCCCGTTGGGCGGATCCTTGCGACACGTGAGGGGAAGTGAATGAACGCGCCTCTGTCTCGCGATGGGAAGCCCCTGGGGTCGGATGCTGCTCTGAACCGGCGGCTTCTCTGCGAGATCCGGACCCTGGGGGCTTGAAGCAAGCACGGTCCTTAGACGTGCACCTCCCTGCTGGTCTGCGCTGCACAGTTGCTTAGACCCTCATGGTGTGTCCCTGTGTTCGTCTCTCACCCAAATCTGCCTCCCGCCTAGAGGGAACGTGGCTCATTCATTTCGTAGTCGGGGGTAGATTAAGTCCACGTGCTGCCCCGCAGGCCCCGTGATCATGGAATGTGAGTTCGTTGTGAAGTGCACTGGGCGGCCACGGTGTCGGACAGCAGAACGGGTTGTCCCTCGGAGGCGTGGTCTGCCCGAGACGTGCGGTGGGCACGGCGTCCGGCCCGTGTCACCGGTACGGGTCGCACGCCGTGCGCCTGCAGCGTCGGCAAGGACATTAGGAATCTCGATGGAGGTCACTGGCGGTGGCCGGGGCACACGTCTGTCTTTGAACACCCTTTGGCTCACACGAACTGAGATTGAGGCTCCCCAGGGAAGCCCCGTGTTGAAGTGGCGTCACACACAGAAAAGGGAGGTGGCCTTGGGCTGGGGAGGCTTCCCGGGTCCCTGGTGTTTGGACTCTGAACATCCGTGTTTCGTGGGAAGACGCCTTCGGGCATTGCTGAAGGTTGGCCGTGGGGGTCTCTCCCTCACCGTCACCGCTCACGTGGCCCTGACCCTGTGCCCGGCCGTCTGAACGAGGCCTGCGGGGAGGTGCGGACAGCATCGGGCTCGGAAGAGGATTCTGGGGGGTTCATTTGAACTTACTAATAGCGTCCTTGTCAGAACGCCGGCTACTGGTCTCCCTCTCCACCCCCAGAGTCGGTGCACACGCGTGGAGCTGGAGGGGCACCAGGGCCCCGTGACCACGGCTGAGTTCTGTGCCTGGCGGACACACGTCATCTCGGCGTCTGAGGACAGGAGCTTCAAGGTGAGGCCGCGCTGGACCTCTGGCGGGTGGAGCGGGAGCGCGGGAGGGACGGCGAGCTCGCCCCAGCGGCCTGTGGTGGCGCTCCCTGCCACGTGCCTGCTTCGTCTCTGCCCTCCTGGTCCTGACCTGCGCCAGCCTTGGCTGGGTGCTGGAAGCGGGGGTCACCGCACCTCCCGTCCCCGCTCCCACAGGCTCTCTCTCTGGAAACGGGGTTTCCCTACGAGCCCGACGCCCGTGATTGTGTTTCACACTGTTGTTTGCTGTGCTCGCTTCGTTGTTTGTTTCTCCTTTGGAGAACCGTTTACGCAGATTAAGTTGCGATTGGTAGAAGTATTAGTTCAAGTTACAGCAGTAAGACCGGGAGTTTCACCTCTTCCTAAGAGATGTGTGTCTGCCCAGGTCTGGGACTACTGCCAGGGGTCACTGGTGCACAGCTCCTCGGTGCTGACAGGTAAGGAGCTTCTCCGTCCTCTCTGCCCGGGCTGCCCGTGTCACTCCGCCGGTGCCTGTGACCCGTGCCCAGAGCCGAGATGGTCGGGGGTCTGAGTGTCACTCATAGATAGCTCTTGACTGCCCCCACTTTTATTCGTTTTAACTCTGAGGCATCAGCATGTGCTTGGAGTTTGGGAGGCGGAAGGGTGGGGAGGTGCGGTCCCGTGAGGCAAGGCCCAGAGCTGCGTTGTTGCAGGGACGCCTGCCCGGTGGGCCCGTGTGCCTGCCCGGTGGGCCCCTGTGCTGGTTTCCACACCCTCCTCCAGCCGCCCCTGGTCACAGTGAACACCGTCCGCGGTCACACACGGGACCGAGGTGGAGCAGGGATGCAGGTCTCCTCCGGCTGCAACCGCTGGGGTCCAAGCCCCTCCTGTGCGGGTCCCCCAGCCCCTCCTGGGACTGGTTTCCAGGTCCCGCCTGCTCCTGTTTCCACCCAGTGCAGGGCGGCTCCTCCTGGGGGACACGAGCCTTGAAAACAGCTTAGAGATGTTGGGGTTTCTGGGTTCTCCCCCAGGGGATGGTCCATGCGGAGAATGAGGCCCCTGAGCAGCTTGAGTATGTTACCGAGCCCAGAGACGAAGGACGTTCCCTGGGATCACGTTGTTCTTTTCCTGGAATAATGTGAATTTTTTTACTATGAAATAAACAATTACAAGATTGATTTTGATGCTATTTATAGTTTTTAGGACATGGAGTTTTTTTTTTTTTTTTTTTTTTTAACGTTTTCATTGACTTTTTAGAGAGGAAGGGAGAGAGAGACATGATGTGAGAGAGAAACATCAGTCGGCCGCCTCCGCAGGCCCGGCCTGTGCTCTGACCTGGAACCCAGCGGGGACCTCTCAGTCCACGGGACCGTGCGCCGTCCACCGAGCCACACCTGCCGGGTGGGCAGCAGACTTTAAATGTCCGTTTGTCTAAACTCTCCTCCTAAGTTCTCCAGTTTAGACTCAGGATCTGTCTGGAGTGAGGTGACATCACAGGCAGCGATTGAAGAGAAGGTGTCCCCTGAGGGTTGTTCCCTCCTGGATCCCAGGGACCCCCGACTCTGGGGCAGGGTGCTGCCCAGTCGGGTTTCAGCGACGCAGCCAACAGGGGGTCCACCTGGACCCCGCCAGCGCGACCCCGCCTTCCCCGCCTCAGGGAGACCCCAGCGCTCTGCTTGCTCAGTGTCCTTCCTGTGAAGAAACTGTCCGAGGGGCCCGGCTTGGCTAAGAGAAGTAAGGGAAACGTCTCAGCGTCTCAGAGCTGAGCGGTCCTCTGCTCCGCTCACCAGCCTCCCCGCTCCTGAGCCTCTTCGTGGACGGAGGGAGCCGGCAGCTCGTCGTCGGGTGTGCGCAGGGCCAGGTGAGAACGCGCCGCCAGGCCGGCCCACGCGCGGCTGGGCGTGTGCACAGGGCGGTGTCGCACCATCATGGGAGCCGGCTGGGCGAGGCCCGCGGCCGCCGCTGAGACCCAGGGGCCTCGCGTCCATCCCCCGCCGGCGCCGCCCGGAGCCTTTCCAAAGCTTAGATTTTCTTTATCGTCACCCACGGACATTTTTGCATCTATTCTCAGGTAGAGCCGGAGGGAGGGAGGGGAGGAGGGAGAGAGAGAAACATTGAAGTGAGAGAGACACAGCGACTGGCTGCCACCCACACGACCCCGACTGGGGCCGGGGACAAACCGCAACCGAGATACGTGCCCTCAGCGGGCACTGAACCCGGGCCTCTCTGGTCTGCGGGCCGACGCTCCAACTGCTGAGCCAAACTGGCCAGGGCCTAAGCAAGGTTTTTAGGTGAGCAGTTCCGGTTCACTTCACAACGAATGCTTGTCACTCTCTCTTTAAACGCTGATATAGTTTGAGAACAACGTTCCACCAGGAATGCCCGTCCTTCCCTCCTGTGACCTTATTTCACACGGAACACTTTCCTTCCCACACTCTGGTCACCAAAGGGGAGGCGGTGGGTCCCTCACCAAGAACCCTGTGACCCCAGCCGGGCGTCCGAGCCCAGCCCCACAAGGCTGTCCCCCACTTCAGATCCGACCCCATGCCCTAGGCCCCCAGGTCACTCCCCTGACCCCTCGGGTCTGATTCGCCAGAGCCGCTCACGGGACAGGGAGGACTCCCAGCTACCAGGTTGTTAGAGAATAACAGCAGCCAGGTGGAGGGATGCACAGGGCGGGGTCCTGAGGGCTCGAGCCCAGAGCTGCTGTCCCCGAGGAGTTGGGGTGCATCAGCCTCCAGGAAGAGGCTGTGTGCGCCGGCTGGGACCCTGTAATTTTGGGACTTTGGAGGCTTTGTCATGGAGGCACAACTGATGAAATCTCTGGCCTCCTGAGTGGACTCAGCCTCCAGCCCCTGCTCCCTCCCGGAAGGAAGTTTAACCCTCTGCTCACAGGCTGCCCCGTGAAGCCAGCCCCACACACTTGCTCAGGGCTTCCCAGAGCCACCTCAGGAACAGAACAAAAGGCGCCTTCTCAGGACACCCCAAGGGTTTGCTCTGTGCCCAAAGGAGACAGTAACCAAACAGGTTTCCTCTGTCCAGGGGTGTCACAGAGAGGTTGTGAGCTAAGATATGTTTATTATCTCGAGAGAGAGAAACATTGATGTGAGAAACATTGATCATTTTCCTCCCGTGTGTGCCCTGACTGGGGATCGAACCCACAACCTTTTGGTGTACGGGCTGACGCTCCAACCGCCTGAGCCCTGGCTGTCCAGGACCATGTGTTTGGTTCCGAGGATGTCGACCGCGGTGCCGCGTGGTCGTCCAGTGATGGGCGTGTCTCTGGTGGTGTGTGTCGGGGAGGAGACCCGGGCCCCCAGGTGCAGGTCTGGGAGGGAGACCCTGTGAAAGGTGTCTGCCCCAGTGGTCTCCCCGCCCACCTACCAGCAGAGGGCAGGCCCTGTCTGCCCCACCTCCTTCCTCATCCGCCTCCCTGCCCTTCGTCCGCGCCCTCCGACGGGCTGACGGTCTGCTGTCTTGCTGGCAGCTGTGGGTCTTCAGTCTGGTGGAGAGCCATCACTACCGTCCTGTGACACGTGTGGACCTGAGGAAGGAGACGGACAGCTTCTCCACCAGGAGGGTCGGGTCCAGGCTGGGCAGCCAGCCAGGTAATGTCGCTGACCCCACCCGCCGGGCCCCTGCCCCTGCCCTCTCTGCGCAGTTGTCCAGGGCCCCGTGTGAGGAGCGGAGGCGGGGTGGCAGGGTCAGGGTCCTGACCTCGGACGTCTCCAGGCACCAGGCAGTTCTTGTGAGAGGACGGGGTGGGGTTCACACACACACATCCGGCTCCACCTTTACTGGCTGTGTCCACGTCCCCCAAGGGCTCCCCTGGTCTGCCCTGCACATCCCCAAGTCCACCTTGACCAGTTCTTCCCGCATCCTGCTGCTGACATCTGTCCTCTCCCCCACCCTGGGCTCCAGTGGTCCCCAGCTCCCTCTGTCACTGTCACCATGTCACACAGCCACCATGCCACTCTGTCACATCACTGTCACCATGTCACACAGCCACCGTGCCACTCTGTCACATCACTGTCACCATGTCACACAGCCACCGTGCCACTCTGTCACATCACTGTCACCATGTCACACAGCCACCGTGCCACTCTGTCACATCACTGTCACCATGTCACACAGCCACCATGCCACTCTGTCACATCACTGTCACCATGTCACACAGCCACCGTGCCACTCTGTCACATCACTGTCACCATGTCACACAGCCACCATGCCACTCCGTCACCACATCACTGTCACCGTGTCACACAGCCACCGTGCCACTCTGTCACCACATCACTGTCACCGTGTCACACAGTCACCATGCCACTCCGTCACCACATCACTGTCACCGTGTCACACAGCCACCGTGCCACTCTGTCACCACATCACTGTCACCGTGTCACACAGCCACCGTGCCACTCTGTCACCACATCACTGTCACCATGTCACACAGCCACCGTGCCACTCTGTCACATCACTGTCACCATGTCACACAGCCACCATGCCACTCTGTCACCACATCACTGTCACCGTGTCACACAGTCACCATGCCACTGTCACCATATCAGTCACCATTACCACTCTGTCACCACACACCCTGGTGTTTTCTCCGCTGTCCCTAATGGGGCTGACACAACGCAGAAACTGTTGATTTTACTTCTAATCCAGCAGATGCGTCGATAGGTGAGTGTCGCCGGCAGCGTCCATGCTCCAGCGTGTGGTCTGTGGTCTGTGGCCCCTCATGCTCATCATTGTGTTTCTTCTTTTAGTCTGTAGTTCTCACTAGGTCAGGAAGCGCCGACATCCGGTACATCGATTCCACGGTGCTTTAAGTCTTGGTTTTATTGTTTCTTGTGTCCATACCCATTTGTTGTGAAGTAGGCCTCAGACCCGCTCAGGAGTCAGAGTTAAACCCACAGCGACTGTCCTCACTCCTCCGCGGCCTGCACTTGAGACCGGTCGCCTGCAGGCCCCCTGGTCTGTGTCTGGTCCCTCACTTGTTCTTCAGTGAAGGAGCTGCAGGTGCCTCGGCTTCTGACCTGAGCGATCCTAGCAGCAGAGGTTCCCCCAGCGTCCCCATGTGGGGTCGTCAATGACTCTGTTCCCAGGAGAGAGGGAGCCGCCCCCTGCACACAAGCTGGACAGAGGGGACGAGGCGGACACGGCCCTTCCCGTCCTGGGCCTGTCAGGCTGCGACCTGTCGCTCATCCTGAACCCCGGACATGGGGGGTGAGTATGAGGAATCTGGCTGGGCCACCGGAGGAGGGAGCCTCTTAAATCAGGTTCTTCTTAGAATGATGAAAATAAGACCCAGTTGTTTTAGTCTAAGTGATGAAAACTGCAAGTGTTCTTAGGATTGCATATTTTAAGTCCTTTATTTAAAAAAAATTTTTTTTTTTTTATTAATTTGAGAGAGAGAGAAAGGGAGAGGGAGAGAGACACAGAAACATCGATGAGAGAAAACATCGACTGGCCGCCTCTTGCACGCCCCCCATTGGGGGTTTGACCCACAACCTGGGCCTGTGTCCTGACTGGGAAATGAACCAGTGACCTCTTGGTGCAGGGTCGACGCTCGACCACTGAGCCACACCGGCCGGGCAGTGTATTTTAAGTCTTAAATTTGGTAAACTTGGTCAGTTATTTTAAATTTACTTAAAAAATATGGGATTATTTTTATTTTGTTCATAAAAATCTAGGCCGATCTTGACTTGTGTGGTGGGGCAAAGGGGAGATGTGATCATAACTCATTCCAAACTTTGTCTCTCTGTCATACCTTATACTTTTAACATTGACCTCGCTGAGTTTATCTGTGTCTGATAGAAACGTCATAAATATTTGATAATGCAAGGAAGCCACTGTTTATGATTAAAAGCTCAAGTAGTGAGTGTACTCATCTGCCCCCACACAGCATGGGAGGTTCTGGAGGACTCTGGTACCCCCAACAAGAGGCGGGTGTTGGGGGGAAGCTGAGGAGTTGGGTCGCCCAGGTGGCGGGGCCCCATCTCAGCACCCACGCCCCTGCCTGGCTGGCCCCGTGAGCGGAGGCTGGGACGGAGAAGTTGCTTGGCCGGCAGTTGAGCTGATGGGTCTGAGGCTGTGGACACCCGTGTCTCTCAGAGCCGTGGCCCTGACCAGGGGGTGCAGGTTCACGGGGTCCGCCTTCTGTCCAGGATGACTCGCTGGGCCGCCCAGTTGTCTGGTGTTGGAGGTGAGGGTGTCGGAGGTGCCCAGGACGAGGCTGTGCAGGGTCAGTGTCCTCGAGATGCCCGTGGGTCACAGGTGGCCTGCAAGTCCAGCCGGCGTGAGCGGCAGGGCCGATCGATCGGGTAGAGACTGTCTGTCTGTGAATTGAGGAGGAAACAGCGACACTGCCTGCCAGTGCCACGACGGCACGAGCCCTCACGGGGGAGCCCTCACGGGGGAGCCCTCACAGGGGAGCCCTCACGGGGATGCCCGACGGCACGAGCCCTCACGGGGGAGCCCTCACGGGGGAGCCCTCACGGGGGAGCCCTCACAGGGGAGCCCTCACGGGCATGCCCGTGTGCTGTCCTGCGGGGACGTGTCTCCAACCTCTCGTGACCGCAGGCGGAAGTAAAGTATCCCAGATGAGAGTTCAGTTGGACCAGGTTTTGGCCTTTTGAGTGACTTTCTTCATTAGGTGTTCGGTCCCTGGGAAGCCCAGACCTCTTACTGCCTCGTGTGGGTGACTGTGGACTGGAGTGTCGGTAGCGCCTGCGACAGCCGGAGACCCTGTGCGGTCCCTGCGCCACACACCTACGCGCCTTGCTCACGGAGTCCGGGTGACGCTGTGACACCATGCACTGTCCCTCTACACAGCCTCGCTCCGGAGACTGCTGGCGGCCTGTGGGTTGGAAGCACCGTGGGGTCCCTGGTCCTGAACTTGGCGAGCTTTGAGCTGGAGGCTGTGCTGTACTACAAGGGTGAGCAGGAAGCCCGGGCCGCCTCCCTCTGCCCTCCGCGCGCGAGTGGCTTTCTGACTGCTTTGGGGGAGTCTGTTTCTGGGTAGAAACGCTGCCGTTTGAAGTGAGGACAAGATGGGCGAGTCACTGGTGACCGCCTGCTCCCTCGGGGACACGCGTCTGTGCTGCTGGGACCCCAGCCCCCAGGCCCTCTCCTGGGCCCCCTTTCCGGCCGTAGGGCCCTGCTGGCCTTGCGCTTGAGCCCCGCTCCCCCTGCTCGGCACTGACCCTGCTCGTCCCCCTGGGCTCCACAGGCAGGTGCTCAGCTGCGGGGTCTGTGTTCTCCGCCGCACGCCCACGCGTGTGGTGAGCTGCACCAGCTGCCCCGTGGGCGGTCCCTGTGCCGTCCTGCAGTGGCAGGGACGCGGTGGAACATGTCGCTCGTGCTCAGGTCCCTGCCTTGCCCCTTACACCCTGCTTGTTTATTTCTCTGCTGAACATTAAGATTTTCGGAACCTCAGCATTCAAGTAGCTGGGTCGTGTGCCTTGATGAGCCGCAATGACAAGGTCAGTCTTGGACACGCCCTGCCTCTGCGTCCGCGTCGTGTCTGTCCACGTGCATGAACTGTGCTGTCTTCCACGTGACTGCCGGGCTTTCCACGTGAGGTCCGTGTGAACGCTGTGACAGCCGGGCAGCGTGACTGGTAGTGACGGATGCGGGTTCACTGGGGAGGAGGCGCGTTTGCGTTGGGAGTTGGGTTACACATCACGACGGTCTCAGTGACGTCATTAACTCTGTCACGACCCCTTGCAGGCCTTTTGCTTACTCGCATCCATGTTTGGGAATGAGATCGCCGTGTTGGAGGTTGACCTGGCCGCTCTGGTGAGATCGCAGCAGCACCCCCACCTGGAAACACATCTCTCAGTGCTGCCCAGGTGGGTCTGCGCAGGTGGTTCTGCCCAGGTGGGTCTGTGCCCAGGTGGGTCTGCGCAGGTGGTTCTGCCCAGGTGGGGCTGCCCAGGTGGGGCTGCCCAGGTGGGGCTGCCCAGGGTGCTGCATGTGCCCCAGTATCAGTTGGCAGAATTTAGAGTGACGTTAGTGAACTCCCAACTGCACTAACCTCGTTTGAAAGAAATCGCTGCTCGTGCAGTGTGTCCGTCTCGTGTGTGTTCGTGGGAAGCACGGTTGTTTTCCTGGGTAGACGCAGATCACAGACCAGCACCTTGACTAGAGACACGCTCGTTGTCGCCCTCCCCTCCCAGCAGTGCCTGTCGCTGTCTGCGTGACCTGTCACTGTCCCTAAGGGTGTTTTGTTAAAACAGCTCCGACATACACGTTTGCTCCCACAGAAGTTTTCTGTTTCTGTTTTAGCTCCTGTGTCTTTCCGCCCTCTCCTCTGTACTTCGGACCCGCTGAGGAAGACTGTGCCAAGCCGGCTAGTCACAGGCAGGCCGGTCAGTGCCTCGTGCCCGAGACAGCCGTCAGCGCGTCGGGCTGCTGGGGCCGCGCTCGTCCGGGCACCTGTCTCCCTGCCCTCGTGTTTGTGGGGGGGATGTGCCAGGTGTTTCCTCTCCTGGCTGGGTGTGGCCACAGGATTCAGTAGCGTTTAGAACAGTGGTGGATTCTCCAGTGGCGGCGAGTGGCGGCCCCTGGTGGGCACTCAGCGTTGGTTTTTCATGAGACACTTGTTCTCGTTTCTCTCCGCTGAAGAGTTTGAAAATGCAAACTCCAGTTACATCATCTAATGTGACCGCACACACAGTCGGTCAGACACGTGGACATTTTCTTCCTGGTCACCACACTCGTGTCCGAACTGCAGTGGCCCTCGTGGTATCTTGAGTTAGCCAGGACACAAATATTCTTCTGATACACATTTTCTCATCACTTGTTCTAAGAAGCATCCAAACAAATCCACATGTTGCTTCTTACAAAGAGATACTTTGACAAATTAACTGTATTTTAAGTGACATCATTTGTTCTGTCCAGTGGTGAACCCCAAGTCCCCATCAGTCTTGTGAAGCCTCTTACTGACCCCGGGAGAAAACAGCTGCTCATCAGCCTGGTCTCTGTCTGTCCTGCTGCCTGTGGCCCCTCAGACTCTCACGTCACGCCACGCCACGTCATATATGATAGCATGCCACATGTCACAGCCTCGTGTCACAGCCATCAAATGCCTTCTCATGTCACGTCACGTGTCACATCACGTCACACCACACGTGCAGTGTGGTGCACACATCATACACGTGTCCATTTCTGCACAGTCTTTGTATCCAGAGGGGAATTCTGGTGTTGAAAGTCTGTGATGTTCAGAAACACTCGGGTGGGGTGAGTGACGATGACCCACTCAGAATCCCTCCCGGCCGCCGACGGCGTGACGGGGGCACATGTGTCCAGACCCGCCCAGCTCCCGCCGACAGCATCTGTCAAGGTTGGGCGGCCTCCCGTTTGCGAGCCTGGTGTCCAGACTCCTGCGGTCAGCCGCACCGACGCAGCGCGACTCCCCGTCTCCCCGACTCCCCGTCTCCCCGACTCCCCGTCTCATTCTGCAGCTCTCGGGACAGTGTTTGCCCCTTCGCCCGACCCCAGGGGCCTCTGCCACGCCTGTGGTTCAGGGCACCCCCCTGGGGGTAGGGTCTGTGCAACGTAAACATCTGCTGCCCTCTGATGGCACCAGCTTTGAAGCAGAGCTGACGGCTTTGTTTTAGTTTTTAAAACAAAACTGTTTCTAAAATCAACATAATGCAATTATCTGTTTTTCTGAAGTTATTTATGATATTGTCCAGAGTATTCGTGTTGAACGCCAAGTGTTAAATGTGCGTACAGTGAACCCCTCTGCAGGATTTTGTTTGTCGGAAGGCATTGTCAAGACTCATGACCACCGGTGGTTCGGTCCTGCGGGGGCCGAGTTTCTGTCCGGCTGTGCTGTGAAGACCCCGGGGGCTGATGCAGGGCAGGGGGCCTTCTTGCCGTTGAATGTGCTGGTGTGACGGGCTCAGGTCACACAGCGTGACATCTCACTGCTGTTCTGTCCCGTGACGGAAGCGTGAGTGGGAGGTTGGAGTAGCTGGCTGGTCGGCACTGGGTGAACCCCACAGTCCGCACGCGCTCACCGTGGTGGTGGACACTGCTGTGTTTAAGGGCTCTGTCCTCGTCTGCTCTCTCACCCCCACGCAGCCGCTCGGAGCGCCCTGCGGGACCAGCCCCTGGTCTTCCACAGCCGCATCAGGTCCTCTGGGTACACGTCCGCCCCGCAGTGAGTAGAGGCCCACACCCCGTGGGGACGTGGTGGTCGTGGGAAAGGTCCTGAGGGCCGCCCGAGGGACGGGAGCAGTTTGAATGTGGTCGGAGCCCAGAACAGCCCCGTCACAGAGGTGCGGGCTCCCGAGTGCGCTGTGCACCGGGCTCTGGTCAGCCCTGTGGTCCCGGGCTGGGCACAGTGATGACGACGGCGACCTGCGAGCTGAGGCCCGAAGAGGCACAGGTGTGCGGGCCTGACGGCGCTGCCCCCGACCGCAGCCTGGCTCCCCGCGGGCGCTCGTCCCGCACTCAGAGCTGGGCGCGCGGACTGCGGGAGGGCCGGCCTGAGCGTGGCGGGAAGCGGTGGCTCACGCGGCACTTCCCGTACGCCAGGCTGGCAGGTCCCGGGTCCCGGAGCCGCTTCCCACCGTCTCGGGGCTGCTGCCCGCCTCCCCCTCAGCTCGTGGCCTTTGTTCTCACGTGGCGGCTGGAAGGGCCTGTTACCTGGCCCCGTGGGCCCAAGCTCAGGGCAGGGGCCTCGGTGGGCTCTGCAGGTTTCTCCTGGTCAGCCCTTCCTGCTGACCTCACCTCTTCTGTGCTCCCCTGACGGTGCCCCGCAGCCACCCTGCCTCCCGTCACCCCGCCTGCCCTCTGGGCATCGCCCCCGGGCCCTGCTGCACCTGTGAGGACACGTGTGCTCAGGGCGTTCACACCCACGTCCGGCTCACTGTCCAGCACTGGCTGCGCCATCACTGCCTGGGGCGCTGACGGCACTTCTGCGCTTGTCTTCACTGTCCTCTCAAGAGGCTCCGAGCTCGTGAGCTCAAACCCTGAGGACTGGGCTTTCTCCCCCAGTGCGGCCATGTTCTCCCCGAAGACCGGGACCAGGGGTGACAGCAGAAGGTCTTCAAAGTGCAAGAAGTCTCACACCTAGTAGGTGACCAAAGTGAGCTGGGACCAACTCGGAGAAGCCCTTCCAATAGTTAACTGAACTTTCCAAACAGGTGTAGGGCCTTTCCTATGTCTGTCTGTTCGTACCACTGTGCACAGACGCGGACATGGTTTATGTGTGTCCTTCAGTCAAGCGTGAGTGCTGTGTTCGCGTGTTTCAGACGCGCTCCTGCCCCCCAACAGCTTTGGGACCTTTACTCTTTGTTGCACTTGCTCTGAGGGGGTGTCGTGGCTGCTGACCACCCCGGGTGAGCTCCTGGGCACTGAACGGAGGAGCTCGCCCCGGGGCAGGCTCTGTGCTGCTTTCGAGTGGCCAGAGCGTGACCCTGAAGTAGGCAAACCCCTCTGTCCAGCGGCCCCCATGCTGCCCGGCTCTGGCTCCCCGCCTGTCCCTGTGACGGGCGGACTGGAGGGCTTGGGGGCTGCAGGGCTGCCCCACAGCGTGTGGCACAGGCCAGGGGTGCAGGCTGCAGGGCTGCCCCACAGTGTGTCGCACAGGCCGGGGCGCAGGCTGCAGGGCTCCCCCACAGCGTGTAGCACAGGCCGGGGTGCAGGCTGCAGGGCTCCCCCACAGTGTGTCGCACAGGCCGGGGGTGCAGGCTGCAGGGCTCCCCCACAGCGTGTCGCACAGGCCGGGGCGCAGGCTGCAGGGCTGCCCCACAGCGTGTAGCACAGGCCGGGGCGCAGGCTGCAGGGCTGCCCCACAGCGTGTAGCACAGGCCGGGGGTGCAGGCTGCAGGGCTGCCCCACAGCGTGTAGCACAGGCCGGGGCGCAGGCTGCAGGGCTGCCCCACAGCGTGTAGCACAGGCCAGGGGTGCAGGCTGCAGGGCACTCCCCCCGCACACGTGCCCCGGCGTGGGAGCTGCTTCCTTCCGCGCACTCCTGCTGATCCGGCTCCCCTGTGCTCCGGGAGGGTCTTCCTGCTCGTCCGTCCCCTGCAGCCACCGCCGTGGTCAGTCTGCGTCCAACAAATGCCTCCCACCCGGGGACACACCGCTCAGGCAGTGGGGGCAGCTCCACAGTCACACCCAACTCTGCTTTCCTGGGAGCCCGGCTCCCCAGACCAGGAGGCCGCCTCTGCTGTGATGGTGGCTCTTGGGGTGTTCTGTGGAGGGGCCGTGGCAGAGCCGCACCTGGCAGCTGTCCTGAGCCCAGCCATCCGCACACCGGAAAGCTGAGACCGTGGGTGGTGCTGGTGAGCTGTGCGGCAGGCCTGTGCACAGGCGCGTGGACAGGCCAGGAGGTGTGCAGATTCCCTGCAGATGAGTATGTGCACGTGTGCGGATGAGTGTGTGGATGTTTGCATGGATGAGTGCGTGTACACGTGTGCAGACGAGTGTGGATATACGCATGGATGAGTGTGTGCACATGTGTGTGGGTGTGTGGATGTATGCATGGATGAGTGTGTACACGTGTGTAGACGAGTGTGTGGATGTATGCATGGATGGGTGTGTACACGTGTGTGGATGTATGCATGGATGAGTGCGTGTACACGTGTGCAGATGAGTGTGGATGTATGCATGGATGAGTGTGTGCACATGTGTGTGGGTGTGTGGATGTACGCATGGACGAGTGTGTGTATACGTGTGCGGATGAGTGTGGATGTATGCATGGATGAGTGTGTGCACATGTGTGTGGGTGTGTGGATGTACACATGGACGAGTGTGTGTATACGTGTGCGGATGAGTGGATGTATGCATGGATGAGTGTGTGCACGTGTGTGGATGTATGCATGGATGAGTGTGTACGTGTGTAGACGAGTGTGTGGATGTATGCATGGATGAGTGTGTGCACATGTGTGTGGGTGTGTGGATGTACGCATGAATGAGAGTGTATACGTGTGTGGATGAGTGTGTGGATGTATGCATGGATGAGTGTGTGTACATGTGTGTGGGTGAATGCGTGGATGGATGAGTGTGTGTACACGTTGTCGATGATGTGTGTGGATGTATGCCTGGAGGATGTGTGTGACAATGTGGTGGGTGTGTGGATGTACGCATGAATGAGAGTGTGTATACGTGTGCGGATGAGTGTGGATGTATGCATGGATGAGTGTGTGTACATGTGTGTGGGTGAATGCGTGGATGGATGAGTGTGTGTACATGTGTAGATGAGTGTGTGGATGTATGCATGGATGAGTGTGTGCACATGTGTGTGGGTGTGTGGATGTACGCATGAATGAGAGTGTGTATACGTGTGCGGATGAGTGTGTGGATGTATGCATGGATGAGTGTGTGTACATGTGTGTGGGTGAATGCGTGGATGGATGAGTGTGTGTACACGTGTAGATGAGTGTGTAGATGTATGCATGGATGAGTGTACACATGTGCAGATGAGTGTGGATGTATGCATGGATGAGTGTGTACATGTGTGTGGATGTATGCATGGATGAGTGTGTGTACATGTGTGTGGGTGAATGTGTGGATGGATGAGTGTGTACACGTGTAGATGAGTGTGTGGATGTATGCATGGATGAGTGTACACGTGTGCAGACGAGTGTGGATGTATGTATGGATGAGTGTGTGCACATGTGTGTGGGTGTGTGCATGGATGAGTGTGTGTACATGTGTGTGGATGAGTGTGTACATGTGTGTGGACATGCTTGTGGATAAGTGTGCATAGTTCCAGGTCAGAGCTGCTTTCCCTCCGTGGCCTCCTGCCGGTTCCAGCTGTTCTGCGTGTCTCAGACCCACAACCACACGTGTGACGGGGGCTTCAGGCTGAGTGTCCATGTGGGGTGGGACCCGAGGAGGGGAGGACGTGTAGGCCCCCCACAGTCTGGCTAGTCCCCGTTCCTGCTATGGGTGAAGGGGGAGCGTCTGTGTAGGACACGGTCTCTGGGTCACGCTGCTGGCTCCTGGGTCCCGTCCGCCCATCTGTCCTGCCCTCCCTCTGGACTTTGGTTCAGCCCTTTCCTCCCAACCAGCCCTGGTCTCTTCACAGCTGGGAGTGGGGTGATTTGTTCATCATGAAGGTAGTCAGTGTGGTGACCTCCCCCGGAGTCTAAACTGGGAAGGAAACCCTTTCCTGACAAACCCACCCGGAGAATCACTGTGTTCACATCAGTTTATGTGACATGTGACACGTCCTTGATATTTTGTACTTAAAACACCTGCACTTTTGGCATAAAGAACGCAAGTCTGTTTGATTCTCTCTTGGCTTTGGATGTAAGAGCGAGTTCACATGTACATCCAGGTGTGAGGGAGCCCAGCTTGACGGGCAGATGGGCAAACGCACTGTTTACTTTAGTCCCACCTTGGACTCTCTCCCGATGTCTGTTTCCCCGTCCCTTCCAGCAAGGACTACCCTGTGGACAGCTCTCTGCCGACCAGACTCCGCAGGCAGCTCACAGTCGCCCAGGGCCCGGGGGCCGTGCGCTGCGTCCAGTTCTCAGGTGCGGGTGCGGGAAGGCGCCCTCTGCCCTGTCTGCTGCGAGCAGATTTGGGGAATCTTGGTCGCTCCGAGCTCAGGGTGGGGCTGGAGCGCGCTTTCCCTGCGGCGAGGGGGCAGGTGTGGAGCCCCGCCTGCCTCCGGGCTCAGGCCGAGCACCCCCAGGCCTGCGCCTCTGGTCCCCCCCCCCACACCGGGAGCAGCCTGGCAGGACGGACACACTCTCCCCTGGTCACTGCCCGCCTGGGCTCCTGGTCTCCTGTCGGCTAAAGGACAGTGCAGGTGGCGACATGGCGTCCTGTCGGCGCTGCCCCTGTGGGCCGGGCTCCACCTGCAGCCGCCGCTCTGCTGTCGGCACGAACCCCCTTCTCCGGCTCCCCTCCTGGCGGCTGGGAGACGCGCGGAGGCCCTGATCGCGGCTCTGGGTGGACACTGGCTCCGAGGTCCCTGCCCTCAGTCCGGGTGGACGTGGGCCTGGGCCGAGCAGCACCCCGGCCCCTGACAGCTCCCGCGTGTGCCCAGCCGTTGCCCGGAGTCCTTCAGGCGGATTCCTGCAGGTGGTGGTTACTCACAACCGAGCTCAATCCCCCTTGTTTTTCATATAATTCAGCCAAGGAAGTTCCTGCGTTGTCGGTAAATCCCGTGTGATGAGGTGTTTGCAGGCTTAGTACTGAGCATGTGACTGTCTGGGAGGGTCCTCGAGCGAGTCTTCCAGAGGAGACCTGCCACTGGTCCCACCTCGTCTCGGGGAGATGCTCAGACAGCTGCTCAGCCAGACACACTCTTAGACGTCCGCTGTCGGGAGGCTGGAGGCGCAGGGCTTGGAGTGGGCGCCGGGCTTCGGGGTGCTCTGGGCTCAGCCCGCGCGGGCACCTTGGCTGTGCATCCTCGGCTCCTCCGGGGCTTAGTGGGAGGAGAGCTTCCTGGGGAGGAAGTCGCCAAGTTAACTGAACTCGCTCTCTCCTCCCGAGCAGGAGACGGGCGGCAGCTGGCCTGCGGCCTAGCCAACCACCTGGCACTGGTCCTTGCTGCCGACCTCACTGGGACACCTGCTGTGTTCTCAGGTAAGCTGTCTACCTCAGCTAACCTGCATTTCCGTGGGTCTCGTGTGGTCCTGGTTATTACTTGCTGAAGGCCACTCCCGTTTCCTGTAAGACAAGCGCAGAACGGCCGGGCCTGAGCGGGGGGGCGGAGCAGAGCCCAGAGCTCCTGGTGGTGCCCGGCCAGGTGCGAGTCTGGGGAGGTGAGGGGGGACCCGTGGACGTACTGCAGGTGTGATGGGCGTGCGAGCTGGTGGGTTCGTGCGAGGTGGCGGATCTGTGCGTGGACACTTCTCAAGCAAGGAGCCCTTGGAGCCGCGGATCTGCGTGAGGCGGCCACGTCACCCTGCTGCCGTCCTGACGTCGTGGCTGTGGTGTGGGCTTCGGGCCCCGCCTGCGCCGGCCTCTCTGCTTCGGTTCCCCGGGCTCCTTGCTCCGGAACTGACAGGGCACACCTTCCACAAGAGCCCCCACAGCCCACAGCCCACAGAACCACAGACTCTACTGAACTGCAGAGCTGGGCCCAGGTGGGCGGGGAGGCCACACCTGTGGGACAGGCGCCCCCTTGGGTTTCCCCAGCTGGCAGCTCCGCCAGGTGGGGGTGATGGCCCTCGGGGGTGGCCGTGCCCCAGGTCCGAGCCTGCGCTGCCAGTGCCCTGGGCCGGGACGCGGTGGCTCCGCGGACTCTGTATACACGTTTCTCTGGAGCTCGGCGGCTGGCGCGGTGACTGCTTTGTGGACAGTCCTGGGGCGGGAACGCAGCGGCATCTCAAGTCCCTTTCCAACAAGGGCTCGCTCTCTGTTCTGGGGAGAAGGGTCCCTGCTGCCCACACATTTCAGCAAATCACAGATGCGTGTTCCCGCTCTGAGAATCCGACTGGCTTCTCGACACCCAGAGCAGGGAAACAGGTGCTCTGGTCTGTCCCAGTGAGGACGCTCTGACCGTGCAGCAAGCTCGGTGCTGAAGGAAGACCTCCTGCTGGAGGCCCACACCTGGGGCACAGCTGCCCCGCGAGCACCCGAGGAGACCCCAAGGGCTGTCACGGCCACTGTGACAGAGGATTGACTTCTTGCTCACATGTCAGTGCATTTCCACCTAGCGCTGTGTCTTGAGAGGACTGGGGTCCCCACCCGAGGAGGAGGGGTGTGACAGGCACGTTCTGGGGTCAGCCACTCCTGGGTCAGATTTAGTTAACATTTCGTTGGAGGCTGGAATCGGGAGAACTGATTCTTACAGAGGGAGGAAGTGAAGCTCCGAGCACCTGTCTCCCTCAGCCCGTCTGTCCTCTGCCTCTGCCTGTGGCCCCTCCCGCGTTCCTCCCTGGGGTCCCCGCCCTTCCCATGGGACCTGGGCCTGGGCGTCTGTTCACCCTGTTCCTGGCTGGTCACTTGTGAGTAGCAGGAGGGATGGGAGGACTAGAGGGGACGAGTGGTCTCAGGGACCTGGGAACAGCCGTCACAGGGGGTGACTTCCAGGGGCGGGCGTCCCTCTGACGTGGGGCCTTGTCCACTCTTTGCCACGTGTGCAGGGAGTCCGTGGCCTCACCCGTGTGCCAGGAGCTCTCCGCAGGGCAGAGGGCACGTGGGGAGGTCCCATAGCTGGACGGTGAGGCCTTCTGTCCCCTGGGCCGCCTGGCGGCAGCACCCGGACCTCTCGTCCCGGCACCTTGTCGGGGCCTCTCCACCCTGTTGCAGAGCCCAGACACCCTGCTGGTGGAGGGTCAGCTGGGCACCAGCGACGGCCGCACGCCCAGGGATGCCCACCAGAGGGCGGCAGAGCCACGCAGATGTGGCTGAGCTCTGGGTCCTGCTCCTCGCTGGCCTGGTTTCCGACACGCGTGCCCCGGAGACACGGCTCCTCCTTGTGTCGTCTGCGAGTGACTGCGTGTACCTCACACGCAGGCAGCCATGAGGATAGCGATGAGGCCCTGGCGGTGGCCAACGTGTGATGTCCGACCTGCTGCCCGGAACGTGGGGCAGGACCAGCAGGTCAGGGTCTCCTCCGGCTGCAGGCGGTGTGGGCCACCCTGCCGCACCAGCTGGGCACAGCTGACCGCCGGACACAGCGGGGCAGGTGCAGGGTCCCGCACTGTCCTTCCTGTTGGAGTGGCGGTTTATTTCCCGTGGGATGAGGAACACACCCGTGGTGACTGGGCCCAGGGTCTACGTTTAGTTGTTCTGCCGTCCCAGCCGCCTGGCAGGAAGGTGGGGTTCCGTCCGCAGACACGGCTGTGCCAAACCAGGGCTGGTGACGGCGGGGACGGGAAGGTCCAGAGTCGCCTGTCCCGAGGGACACACCGCCCTCGGCACCTTGGAGCCTCTGGGGCGTTTGAGGAGAAGGGAGAAGCCGGTGCTCATCTCCTGGCCCGGGGAGGGGTCTGAGCTGTTCCCTTCCTTCCCTCTCGGCCCACGGGTTCAACGCCACGCGTCTGAGAAGCTGTGCGCAGGTCACATGCACTGTCGGTGCGGCGGCCTCCGTGGGGTGATCTCGGGCGTGTGCTCGTGATGTCCAGGAGCCTGAGCCACCGGGCCCGTCACAGCCGGTCATTGCATCACACGGGGACATGTTCACCGAACCTTCTGACTTCCTTCCGTGTTAGCAGAATGCAGTTACTTAAAGCACATTCTTGGAAGCCCGCAGGTTTCTGTACACTTTATAATTGGCGATATTTCATGAAGCCGTTTTAAAATATACTCTCAGGTGCACCCCCATCTTGAACTTTGTATTTCAAAGTACGTGAATTTTGGAAACACACTCTTCAGAAACCACACGAAGACTTAAAATGAAGTCTCACCTCCGTGGGCTTTGGGTCCACTGGCATCACTGTGACCTTGACCCGGGTCTCTCCCCCCCCTGTCTTCTTCCCTTAGGTCATGACGGGGCGGTGAGCGCCCTGGGCTGGAGCCACGACAACCGGTGGCTGCTGTCCGCCTCCCAGGACGGGACCCTGCGGGTGTGGTCGGTGCACCGGAGGGAGCTCGCCTTGAGCCTGGTAATGGTGGTTCCTGCCGCTGCCAGGTGTCCAGCCTCAGTCCCGGGCTGTAGGCAGTCACAGCCCTGCAACACTTTTCTCCGCGCCCGGGGTCAGGGAGCGGGGCCAACCAGGGGTCTGCTTCAGGGCACTGGGGTGTTCCGAAGGTGGGTGCCCTACACACATGTTGGGTACCATGCGTCTCACACACACACACACACACACACACACACATACACACCCCACAGTCAAACACGCCTGCATGTGTGACGACCTCAAAGTGGAAGCTCTGTTCTCACTGCGATGCCGGGGTGAGTCTCAGCGCTCACTCAGTGTGACTTACAGGGAGGAGCTGATCAGGGCCACCTCCAGACAGGGGCAGGGGAAGCGATCACGTGGCCTCTTCTAGAAGCCGGGGGGAAGGGACGAGGTGTAGCGTTGGCCGTGAGCAGCTGTCCGGTGCCGAGACGAGAGCTTCCCGCGTGGAGCAGCGATGCTGCGTTTCCCTGGCAGCACGTGATGTGCGCTCTGTGCACCGCAGGGCAGAGACCGGCTCCTGAAGCCCGTGCGCTGCGCTCAGTTCTACTACCTCGACTCCTTCGTGCTGCTGTCGTCCGGCCCCGAGCTCCAGCTGCTCAGGTGCCACCTGGACACCTGCAAGGATGAGATCAAGAGGTCGGTGGCCCTTCGCGGTTGAGGAAGCCGGGTTTCGTCCGTGAGGGACGGACGAACAGTGCGTACACTTGGGAGTGGCACTGACGTGTCGTGGACCCCGTCCGCCGAGGTGCTGGTGCGAGCTGAGGCCGCGGCGTCTGCCCGCGGGGAGCCCCGCCCCGAGGACAGCTGGGCCAGAAGGTGGCCGCACCTGTCTGCAGCTGTGCCCACGTCCTTGGACGGGCTCCCCGGGCAGTGCTGGGCGGTGTCGCCAGGCCTGCGTGTCACTCGCTGGGGCAAGACTCTGGGCACCGGCCTCGGCTGGAGGCAGCTGGTTCCTTGTCCAGCCTGTGGGCTCCGAGTGCGGGACGGTCGCCACCGTAGAGGCCGAAGGCCACGGGCACCGTCACCAGGCTGCTGGTCCCTGGGGTGGGCCTGGCGGCCTCGGTCTGCATTTGTCCTTCTCTGGAGCACTTCACTGGAGGTGCTCCGCTGCCAGCCCCTCCATTCTTTATGGATCCTCTCACTGCCCACCCTCCGGGAGTACAGCCCCCCCCCAGGACCAGGGCCCCCCAGGACCAGGCCCTCCCCAGGACCAGGGTCCCCCCAGGACCAGGCCCCCCCCAGGACCAGGGCCCCCCAGGACCAGGCCCCTCTCAGGACCAGGGCTCCCCTCAGAACCAGGTCCCCCAGGACCAGGGCTCCCCTCAGGACCAGGCCCCCCTCAGGACCAGGCCCCTCTCAGGACCAGGGTCCCCCCAGGACCAGGCCCCCCCCCCAGGACCAGGCCCCCCCCAGGACCAGGGTCCCCCCAGGACCAGGCCCCCCCCCAGAACCAGGGCCCCCCAGGACCAGGCCCCTCTCAGGACCAGGGCCCCCCTCAGGACCAGGTCCCCCAGGACCAGGGCTCCCCTCAGGACCAGGCCCACCTCAGGACCAGGTCCCCCTCAGGACCAGGGCCCCCCCCCAGGACCAGGGCCCCCCCAGGACCAGGGCCCCTCTCAGGACCAGGGGCTCTGGGCACCTCCCTGATTCTAAATCAGGTGTTGGGTTGAAATGAGTTTACCTGAAACTGACCTGAAATGTGAGCCCTGTGCCTTCAGCGGGTACCTCCCTGTCCAGCTCAGAGCGGCTCTGCCCTCCCCGCTGCCCCTCACGGGCTGCCCTCTGCCTGGGTGTCAGCCCCCCCCCCCCACCGTCCTGTCCCCTCCTCACTCTTCTCGGCTGTGCCGCTGGCAGAGCGTCTCCGCCCAGTCACAGGGCCTCCTGCTGCACGACCATCCTGCCCTCAGCGCTGCGTCCCAGGCCTGGGGCTCTGCCCTCTGCCCACTGGGAGTTCTGTCCTGCACCCCATGTCACCCCAGTGAGCACCCCTCCGTGCCTGAGCCTGTCCTGCCCCCCCCCCGACCCACGCAGCACTGACCTGCCTGTGCAAGGTGTGGGTGGTGCCATCCTCACTGATCCCCAGCAGCTGTGCCCGTCACCACCTGTTCCTGCCAGTGCCCCGGCCTCACCCCCTGTGCCCGCCCCTCTGGTCCCTGGTGGACATGGCCACACCCTTCCTGCTGGGGAGCAGGCCCTTGCACGGGTGATCCCATCATCCAGGCTCGGACCGTGCGTCCACTGACCTGTGGGAAATAGAAACCAGCTCGAGTGGAATGCAGACCGCGTGTAGCTGGCTGGCTGTCTCCTTCAGCACAGTGACTCTGGAGCAGTGGTTCTCAGCCGTCCCGACCCGCGACCCTTCAACACAGTTCCTCATGCTGCGCTGACCCCCGGCCACAAAATTACTCTTGTTGCTACTTCATAACTATAATTTTGCTACTGTTATGTCTTAGGCGACCCCCAGCGGGGTCGTGACCCACAGGATGAGAACCGTTGCTCTGGAGCTAGGAGGAGCTTGGCTTGCTCGCAGACAGCAGCCACGGACTTTGGGGGGGTGACGGCCTGTGTTCAGGACGTTCTGTGGAGTGGGGTGAGGTGGCCGACTCAGCTGACTCCGAGTGACGGAACATGACCGTTAGGCGACATGGACACTTTATTTCCGATGTTTTTACGGGTAGCACACCTCGCTGTGGAGGGGCACAGAGCCCCTGACGGGCTCCCTTCTCCCCAGATACAAGCAGAAGAGCAGCTGCACCCCCGTCCTGGGGCTCCCCACAGCCGGCGCCACGGAGATCACCAGCTTGTCCGCCATGAACGAGTTTTACTCCCGTATCCTTTCTCCCTGCCCCTCCCCCGCCGCCGGCTGGCCCTGAGCGGTCCCCCACCGCACCTGCTGGGCCCTGGGGACCCACGGACTCGGGGAGTTCATTCCAAAGCGTCACAGTTTCAGCTCAGCGGTGAAAAGTGCCTCCAAGTAAAAAAAACAGTGCAACTGAGCACCTGCGGCGCGGGCGGTGGGGCTGCTGTTCCTCCCGGTGTGCACTTGGGGGTGCAGCTCTGCACGCGCACTTCTCAGCTCTCGGGGCCGACACCGCCAGTGGGGTAGTTCTGTGGTCCCTGAACCCCAAGTGTGTCACGCTCGCCCAGCGGTGCGTCCTCGGTGGTGCAGCCTGGACCCCTGGCGCCGGCCCTCGTGGCTCTGCCGTCCGCCGTTTGCCTGGGGCCTGGCTTCTGAGCCCAGTGCCTGCGTTCAGACCCGTCTGCTGGGCCACCTCCGGATCTGAGTGTTTCCTGGCACCTCGAGCCTCTCCTCTTAGTAGAACTCAGTCTTGTACCTCAAAATCTGCCCTGCTAGGGGTCTCCCCTTTGTCCTCAGAGGCTCCCCACTTCCCACTGGCTCTGGCCTGCTGTGGGGCCGACGTGGGGAGTGGGGCTGCCCCGGGACGCGTGTGGCGCTTGAGAGAAGTGCTCCCTAACGGACCTCCCAGACCTCGTGCTGACCGCCGGCCGGGACAGGACCCTGGAAGTGTTCGACCTCAGCGTGGGCCGCAGCGCGGCGGTGATCGCGGGAGCTCACTCACGGCCTGTCCACCACATTTGTCAAAATAAAGTGAGTGTTTGGTACCACACAGGGTTTGTCAGATTTTATGTTTAAAGTGAGTAACTGGAATGTGTGATGCGGTTTCATGTTTGCCACAGAATTGAAGGTTTGTTTTTGTTGATCATGAAGTTATTCCATGTTTGACATTGGAAGATATTTTCACACAGTATTGGGTGTTGATTTCTGTTCATTCATCTTTGGTTATTTTACGGGTCTGTGTGGACTTCACGGTCACACGTTCTCACTTGAGCCTGACGAGGGTGTGGGCGCCTCCGCACCGAGGGGCCGGTGGGCCGATGGGCCGTGCGGACGCTGCAGGAGCTCGAAGCGACTCCCCCGACAGCGGCCGGTGCCCAGGTGCCAGCTGCGGTTTTGACAGGAATGCTGTCAACCTGCCCACAGGAGGTTCTGCTCTGATCAGGGGGCTGGGCTTTAGATGGATACATTGTTGCACAGTTTTGCTCAGAAGACACTTTGTTACTCAGAATAGCATCAGGGAGACTTGGGAACAAACTTCTGTGTTTGGTCTCCAGCTACAATTTCGAGTTTGATACATTTTAATGGCTTTCCAAATTAAGGGTTTACTTTGTAATGCCTTCTGAAGTCATGTTATGATCCAAGGGGACCATCTGTTTAGAGAGAAGTCTTGCTGTGTTGGTTAAAGGTTCTGTCATCCACGGTTTCAGTACGTTATCCCCGGTTCCCTGCACGTTCCCGTTGGGTAGGCGGAGTGAACGGGAAGGAGACGCCGACTCCAGGCCGCTGTCCTGGATGAGTGGACGCTGGAGGGCTTGGGCCACAGTGAGACTTTCTCGGGGGTGCAGTGGGTGGGGCCCCTGATTCCAAGCCTGAGAAGGCCTGGCGCTCCGGGCCCAGGTCCTCTCGAGCTGTCAGTCCGGACAGCAGTGTACAGACGGCTGGGCTGGGGGAGGGGGGGTATGTCAGCCCAGGTCCAGGTGGGGCTCTGGGACAGAGGCTGGGACGAGGCCCGGGGGGCTGCTGGGGGGCTGTGCTGGGAGGCTGAGCCCCGGCAGCGCCCGTGTCATTCACTCACCGTGAGGGGCCTGCTTGGTCTCAGATGGGCCCGTGAAGGCTCAGACAGGCATCTGTTCGACCCTCAGAGGCTGTCTAGTTAGGACGTTTCGAATCATGGTATGGAGAGGTTTTTCTGGGTCATGCAGGAAAGTATCAGCTTGGAGAGTTGTTGAAGAAAAGACTGTCCCGCCTCCTTTGTTTATACAGCGTCTTGCGTGAAAACAGAAGAGAACTAGTCCAAACACTGCGCTGTGGGTCCCGTGAGCGAAGGCGTCCCTTTGAAGCGTGTTGTGACTTCTTTACGAGGCTGCTAACATAGCAAACCTCAGAGCCCAGGTCCGTGCCAGTCGGGTCAGCCTCGCAGTCGTGGTGGCTGGAGTCTGGCGTCTCTGGGCGGCTGTGGCCACGCGGCCTCACTGGGGGCTGGTGGCGGGAGTGGGGGCTGCCCCGAGTCTGAGCCATCTGCAGGGCTGGGGTTCAGCTCGATGATCAGACCTTACAGATTCTGGGAGTTTAAGTGAATTTGATATTTGAGTCACATATTTAAAACAATTGTTAGCCTGATGCCCATCTTATTTTTTTAAAAGGGGTTTTTATTGATTTTTTAGAGAGAGAGGAAGGGAGAGAGAGATAGAAACATCCATGTGAGAGAGAAACATGGATTGGCCGCCTCCTGCCGCCCCCTGCTGGGGATCGAGCCCACAACCGGGGCATGTGCCCTGACGGGGAATCTCACCAGGACCTCTCAGTCCCTGGACGACGCTCAGTCCACTGAGCCACACCGGCCGGGCCCTATCTTATTTTTTAGGCATTATGATTTCTTTTAAATTCAAGTACAACTCAACAACATATTGATGGGCAATCTTTTTTATTACATGTATCAGGGTGAGGTTGGTTGTTGACATTTATAGGTTCCCAGTGTACGGTCTGGTGCGTCACATATGCGCCACTGTGTGCTCAGCACCCGGAGTCCTTCCGTCACCACGCATTTGGCCCCTTTACCCTCTTTGTTATGGGCAGTATTTCGATGTAGAATATTAATGGTTAGTCAGACTTGCTAAGTGTGTTTCTTGAGACCCTGAGGCAGAGGTGCCTGCCCTGCAGACGCTGTAGAGTGTGACCCCAGAACAGTCACCTGGACCTGGAACGTGGGTCTCGGGGAGGCGGGCGTGGATCTCGGGGCGGCGGGCGTGGATCTCAGTGCAGTAGGCTTCTCAAAAAGACGAGCCAGCACGTGGCCTGATGGGCTGCCCTCTGGCGGACAGCATTTCACAGTGTCCGATGCTTGTTCTCCAAGTGCAGTGAGCTCATCAGAGAGAAGCTCCTCATGCTCTGGTGTCTCGACAGGCCATGGAGGTCAGTGTTGGAGCAGTGGTCTAGTGTTTCTCTGAGTCTCTCACTAATACAGTCCGGTGAGAATTAACTACGTGCCCAGGTGTGCCATTCCCGTTAGCATGTTTCAGTCATGAAGGTAATGGGGGTCTCCTGTGCTGTAAATGTTACGTTGCCACGTACTTCTTACCCGGCTCTGCCACCTGCTCCGTGTCTCCGAAGTCTCAGCAGTTAGAACGAGGCTCCTCAGTTCAGTTAGGGTGACTTGGCGGCAGGCCGCTCTCCCTCAGGTGGGCCCAGGCTGTGCGCCCTCCACCGGCCTGTCTGTGGAAGGTGCTCTGTCCGCTTTTCCATGTAAACACCTCTTCTCCTCCTCTTTTCTCGTGCTAGTCTTTCTTTCTTCTTGGGGCTTATCACAAAGCTCTAAAAACTGGGTCTAGGTGGGAACTCGTTAGAGCCCAGTGAGAGCTCAGACGGTCCCGCACTGTCCCGTCCTGCCCGCTTCAGGAGCTGGCTCTGCCGTGAGCTTGGCCGCCGAGCGCCAAGGTCTGTCTGTCTGTGAAACTGGACCGTGTCTCATTCCTTTTAGACCCCGCGCCTTACCGGTGCCGGCGTCCAGGAGATGACGCCCACGCGTTCTCGGGACGCCTGCTGAATGGCGTGTGGGCTCCGTTGGGTTAGGGAGCCATCTCTGCCGGGTTCTTGTCTGTGAAAGGCTGATCTCAGCGGCTGGGAGGCACGAATGGGCCCCACGTGTAATGTTTCTCACCCGAAGACGGGTAAACAGTCTGCCTCACGGGTTCGATAAGAGGGCGCGATGTGACCTGGACAACGTTGGTGGATTCGGAGTCAGGGCCCGGCATGCGTGTTAGTTACCACTGTCGTTGGATCGACGTCTGCCTTTGCTTCCTGTCTGCAAAGCACTTCTGGGCTCAAGTGCTTTTTCTTTTTTTAATCCTCACCCAAGGATATTTTTCTATTTATCTTCAGATAGAGTGGGGGGGAGGGAGGGGGAGAGAGAGAGAGAGAGAGAGAGAGAAAGAGAAACATCGACATGAGAGGGACATATCAGTACGTCTTAAAGTCAAAGTGGACACCTGGTAATTATTCACATGGACGTTTTGGGGACTCCAACTATGAAATCGTTATAAGTAAGAAAAAAGGTTTTGTAGTTTGTTGCTTTGGATTCAGTGCCGCTCGACACCGGCAGTCGATGATGGTCCAGGCTTCAGAAAGCACCTCCTGCCCTTGCCCACAGGGGTCCTCGTTCACTGCCCAGCAGCCTCGGGCTTACGATCTCTTCGCAACCATGGCCGTCGGCGACGGGATCCGGCTGTGGGACCTGAGAACCCTGAGGTAAGGTGCCTTGTCATGCAGACCACAGTGGGGGCGAGGCCGGAGGCCGGGGCGAGGTGGAGGCTGGGGCGAGGCGGAGGCCGGGGCGAGGTGGAGGCCAGGGCGAGGCGGAGGCCAGGATGAGGTGGAGGCCAGGATGAGGTGGAGGCCAGGATGAGGTGGAGGCCAGGGCGAGGTGGAGGCCAGGATGAGGTGGAGGCCAGGATGAGGTGGAGGCCAGGGCGAGGTGGAGGCCAGGGCGAGGTGGAGGCCAGGATGAGGTGGAGGCCAGGATGAGGTGGAGGCCAGGGCGAGGCGGAGGCCAGGGCGAGGTGGAGGCCAGGATGAGGTGGAGGCCAGGATGAGGTGGAGGCCAGGATGAGGCGGAGGCCAGGATGAGGTGGAGGCCGGGGCGAGGCGGAGGCCAGGGCGAGGCGGAGGCCAGGATGAGGTGGAGGCCAGGATGAGGTGGAGGCCAGGATGAGGTGGAGGCCAGGGCGAGGTGGAGGCTGGGGCGAGGCGGAGGCCGGGGCGAGGCGGAGGCCAGGATGAGGCCGGAGGCCAGGGCGAGGTGGAGGCTGGGGCGAGGCGGAGGCCGGGGTGAGGTGGAGGCCAGGGCGAGGCGGAGGCCAGGTAAACGTGTTTGTATGGGGCACTTTGCTCTCACTGTGAACTCAGTCTGAGGCTGCGGTGGGTCTGATCCCATGGCCCCGAGGAAGTCTGTTCATACGTGAAAAGCACATCCGTGTGCATTGTTGAAACCACAACTGCTGGTCGTTCTCTGTTCCACGAGGACCTGGGGCTCCTGAGTGTCGGCTCTGGCTGTCTCTAAAGGTGATGGCCGTTTTCCTCAATAAAACCAGCATCAGTTCCCTTACATACAGAACAATAAGCAAATCTCGTATAGTGCCTCCTAAGCGTTGGTCGTAAAACTTCACCAGCCTTGATAGGGGGCTGCACCTCCCCAAAGTCTTTGAATCACTGATTTAAATAATTTATCATTTAAAAAGGTTAGTTTGTATACTTTAAAGGTCTCCAGAATACATTGGTCACTCACCTGTCTTCATATATAAAGTCTGATTGATGTTAGTTTGGTCATCTGAGAATCTGTGACTGAAACTTCCTGCAAGTACTTTGAGGATCCTGGAGCCATCTGCTCAGTGTTTGGCGACCCTCACGTAGGAAGTGTTCCTGTAGCATGTTCACATCCGTGAAGTTTGGCGACCCTCACGTAGGAGTGTTCCTGTAGCGTGTTCACATCCGTGAAGTTTGGCGACCCTCACGTAGGAGTGTTCCTGTAGCGTGTTCACATCCGTGAAGTTTGGCGACCCTCACGTAGGAGTGTTCCTGTAGCGTGTTTCACATCCGTGAAGTTTGGCGACCCTCACGTAGGAGTGTGTCCCTGTAGCGTGTTCACATCCGTGAAGTTTGGCGACCCTCACATAGGAGTGTTCCTGTAGCGTGTTTCCCATCCGTGAAGTTTGGCGACCCTCACGTAGGAGTGTTCCTGTAGCGTGTTACTATCCGTGAAGTTTGGCGACCCTCACGTAGGAGTGTTCCTGTAGCGTGTTCACATCCCGTGAAGTTTGGCGCCCCTCACGTAGGAGTGTTCCTGTAGCGTGTTCACATCCGTGAAGTTTGGCGACCCTCACGTAGGAGTGTTCCTGTAGCGTGTTCACATCCGTGAGTTTGCGACCCTCACGTAGGAGTGTTCCTGTAGCGTGTTCACATCCGTGAAGTTTGGCGACCCTCACGTAGGAGTGTTCCTGTAGCGTGTTCACATCCGTGAAGTTGGCGACCCTCACGTAGGAGTGTTCCTGTAGCGTGTTCACATCCGTGAAGTTTGGCGACCCTCACGTAGGAGTGTTCCTGTAGCGTGTTCACATCCGTGAAGTTTGGCGACCCTCACGTAGGAGTGTTCCTGTAGCGTGTTCACATCCGTGAAGTTTGGCGACCCTCACGTAGGAGTGTTCCTGTAGCGTGTTCACATCCGTGAAGTTTGGCGACCCTCACGTACCGTGGGTCACTCTCTTTATCCCAGTTTGTGTCAGAAATGAAAACATCATTTCCTCCTGGTGTTTCTCTTTTCCTCGAGGTGTGAGCGCCGTTTTGAAGGACACCCGAACCGCTGCTACCCGTGCGGACTGGCCTTCAGCCCCTGTGGCCGGTTCGTGGCGTGTGGAGCTGAGGACAGACACGTAGGTGCCTGTGGGCCTGCGGTGGGCTCCGTGGGGTGAGGTCTGGGTGGGTCCAAAGCTTCACACAGCGGTGGTGTTTGATGACGGTGACGCGCAAGGTGGGGGCGGTGTGTGTCGGGAAGCAGAGTCTCAACCCACCTTTGCTCACAGATCCTCTCCTCCTCCGCTCGGTCGTCATGGCGCAGCTGGCTCTTCTGGTACGGCCATGTCTCGGGCTCTCCAGAGAGTGACGTTAATAAATAAAGCGATACACACATCTTGTTGTTGTTGTTGTTAATCCTCACTGAGGATATCTTTTCCATCGATTTTTAGAGAGAGTGGACGAGAGGGAGGGGGAGAGAGAAATATCGACGTGAGGGACACATCGGCCGGCCGCCTCCCACATGCGGCCAGAGGTCAAGCCTGTAGCCCTAGTAGGTGTCCTTGGCCGGGAGTTGAACCCGTGACCCTTTGGTGAGTGGGCCACACAGGCCAGGGCTGCATCATATTATTAATTGATACAATAAGAATTGTGTGAAAAAAATAAATTAGTAAGTTTGATGAAAGTTATCGAATAGATATTTTGAAGTAACATGAAATACTGAAAAGATTGTTAGACACGTCCTAAGCTGGCCTGCGTGGTTTGGTGCAGGGAGGCTGTTGGGGGTTGGGAGCGTGAGTGTCCTGTGCTCTTGCCCACAGGAGCCACGTTTCTGCAGGTTGTGGAATGTGTTCATGAAAGTCAATTCAGGAAATACTGGCTGCTTGCCTTTTGCTTATCGTCGGAAGCTGAGGTTTCTGAAAGTTAAAAATTCAAATTAAGTTGAAAGAAAAGGATACAGTTTTGATAATAGAAGATATAAAGTATGAAATGGCATTTTTAAGGGAACAGGAAGAGAATGAGTTGTTCTCGGGTGGAAGGTACGGGCTTTGTGTGATGTGTGTCTGTGTTGGGCACGTGGTGCGTTTTCTGCCTCCGGGGCGCAATGTTTTATTGTCCTGAAGAGATGAAAGCAGTTACATAAACCAAGCAGGATCCTGTGGTCTGGACAAAGTATTTAATATTAAAACTGGTTTAAGTTTTATTAATGTCTTTTTAAGTTATTACCATAACACGTGTGTTTGTTTTACCTGGGTTTTCAAAAAGGTTTGTGTTATGGCCCTTTGGTTAGGTTGACAACCTTTTAAAAGTTTAAATGTTGACAACATTTTCAAAGTTTAAATTTTAAGAGACTCTTTGACCGAGAGATGCCTTTGACTGATCCCAGAGGCCTGGGATCCAGATATGCCCAGAGGCCTCAAGGACGTATTCCCTCTCCTTATAAAGAAAGTCCTGAAATCAATCAGGCCTATTTAATATGCTGGACAGAACATGGGAAGTTTCGCCAAGTTATAATAATAATAACAACGATGTTCTATTTGTATTCATATACTTTTTATTGGAATGGATGGTCCAGAATGTTCAGTCTGTCCCAGGGAGGAACTTGCAAAGATTCAGAACCGAGTCCAAACAGGAGGTCCCCGGGCCAGCAGGTGTCCTGTCGGGGACATGGGCCTCCCAGAGCGACGTTCCCGGAGGCGTCTCGCAGTGGGCTCCGGTGTTTGTGGGCCACACACTGGGAGATTATGAACTGTTTCCGATGCTCACTGCTCACCCCTGATAAGCCACATGCAGTATTCTGAAATCTGGCATAGTATTTGCTCTTCATATATTGAAATTGTGTATTGAATCTAAAAAACATGGGCTTTATATTGTTCTTTTATGTTATTTTATAGTAATTATTATTTACCAACAAAGAAAATAAGAGAATTGTGTGACCATCTTCACATATACAGAAAACCCATTTCAACAAAATTACGTGTTCATTTCTGATCAAAACACCCCTTGAAAAGCGGGATCAGTGACGCTTTTTCCACACGACGAGATGCTCATCTCGCCCGACTGCCGGCATCTTAGGAGAAAGCAGGAGAGACGTCTGCGGCTGGGAGCATGGGGAGGTGGCCCACCGGTTCCCCCGACGCGTGTGCGGGAGGCCGCTGCCGGGAAATGGGAAGAGAGAACTCGGAGCGACGGTGATAGGAAGGAAGCGGTGAGAACGACCTTTATTCATGTATAATAATGTCCAAGAGGACTGATTACCATATGAGCAATAAAATAATTCGGGGAGTTATGACAGGAGGATTTAAATTACTATGTGGAATTCAGTGTTCTTTCTATTAAAACAAACCAAACCATCAACCTGTGGAGGTGCAGTGAGGGGGATCCATTCGGAAGAACCTGAAACAGGATAAAATATTCAGGCACAAAGTTAATGGGAATCTGAAGAAAACTTTCTATTTTCCCCAGAAATGTCGGCGTGAACAGATGAGACTCACTGTTGTCTGGTAGGAAGACTCGGTCTGGTGGAGGGGTCAGTGTGTGTGAGTCGTTTGTGGTTTAACCCTGCCAGCAAAGTGTCAGCAGCGCCTGCGTCGCGGAGAAGTTCACTGAGGTCATTGGGGAGAATACACCACGAATAATGATCGAGACGCTGGGAAGACGTCATTATGTTGGGGGATCTTCCCAGGTATCTAACTGAAACGGTGGTGCTGGTGCACAAATAGGAGGACAGACGAGTGTCCTGGCCCTGCTGCCGAAAGTGCTCACAGCGCCGGCGCCCCAGGGCCACGGGTGACCTCGCGGGGTGTCTGAGTGCCACCCCCGCCCCGGACGGCTTTGCCAACAAGACGGGAGCAGACGGGAGGGCCAGGTAACAGGCCTGGAGGCAACATCAAGGTGCCGGCCGAGGAGCAGAGCTGAGCATCAAAAGAGTAAGGACTGTGCTTGATTCTAAAGCACAGTGTCTGAAATCTGATGTTTTTTTTTTTTTTTTTTTTTATTCTCACCCGAGGATATTTTTCCATTTTTTACACAGATAGAGTGGGAGGGAGAGAGAGAGAGAAACATCGACGTGAAGGGACACATCGAGTGGCTGCCACCCGCACAACCGACCAGGGCCGGGGACAAACTGCAACCGAGGTACGTGCCCTTAGTGGGAACCGAACCCGGGTCTCTCTGGACCGCAGGCGGACGCTCTAACCGCTGAACCAAACTGGCCAGGGTGGAACCATTCCTTTTCAGAGAAGAACTCGGACTGTTGGTATGAATGACAGAATGAGAAGATGACCCTCTTGCAGTCTCAAAGTGACTGATTTTAGCAAATGTCATCAGTAGAGAACTATTGGTCAGAGCACAGTGGTCCTGCCCTGGCCGGTTTGGCTCAGCGGTTAGAGCATCAGCCCACGGACCAGAGAGTCCAGGGTTTGGCTCCCGCTAAGGGCATGTACCTCGGTGGCAGGTTGTCCCCGGCCCTGGTTGGGGTCGTGTGGGTGACAACCAGTTGATGTGTCTCTCATGTTGATGTCCCCCCTCCCCCCGCTCTATCTGAGGATAAATGCAAAAATGTCCTGGGTGAGGATACAAAAATAAAAAGTAAAGAGCCCCACACCTGCTAGGATGGCTGTTATCACAACAAAGAAGATAATCAGTGTTGGCGAGGACTGGAGAAAGGGAACGCTCGTGCCCTGTTGCGGGGTGCAGATTGAGGCACCCCCTGTGGAAGGCCGTGTGGAGGGTCCTCGGAAGGTTAGAGACGGAGCTGCCTCGCGCCCTAGCAACCCCCTCCTGGGATTTATCCGAAGGAGCAGAACCGGGGCCCCGAACAGAGAGCTGCTCCCACAGCTTGTTTAGCAGCCCGGACGTGGGAGCCGCCAGCTGCTTACTGACGAGTGGACAGGTGCAGACAGCGTGGCGCGAACGGACAGCGGACGGCCGTCCCCGTGCAGCAGGAAGAGCGTCCCCCAGGTGGGACAAGGGGATGGACCTCAAGGACCCTGGGGGGCGTGGGGCCGTCCTGGGAGGAGGGTCCGGGACTCCATGTAGACACGGGCTGAGACAGCCCCTCCTGGAGGCAGAGCCTGGGGGGCTGTGGGCTGGGCAGCAAGCGGCCAGTGATGGTGGAGAGGTCACTGTGCAGGGCGACTCGGTCTAGAGCTCCGGACAGCACAGCCCGTGGGCGACAGCTGTCTCACCTGAATCCTGCCACCACTGCACCCCTAGTGCAGAGACGCCCAGACGCCCCCGCCTGCCTGAGCCATGCGAGCTGCACAGCACCTCGCTGTCCACCCGAGCGTCCCTGTGACGGACAGTGGGACTGGACCCTACTGGACGTTAGAGGTGATTTCTGACTGACAGCCAGATACCCAGGACAGTGGGGTGTGCTTGAAGACATCACAGGAGACACACAGATATGCTGAGAATCTGGAACATTCTTCAGGAGACTGATCCCGTTTCTTCAACAAGCTTATGGCATGAAAACAACCCCAAAACAACGCAGGAGAGAGACGCCCGACCGACCCGCAGCCACGGTGCAGACGTGGGGCACGGCGGGGAACGGCTGTGCCTGGGCCTCGGCATCGGGGCCTCTGTTCACTTCAGGTTAAAACTGGCAGTGGGGTTCGGTGGGAAATGTCCATATTTTTAGACACGCAAAATACATGCTTCAAAATACATGCGTCTTCAGCCACAAGCACGAAAAGAAGCAGGAGGAGCTGTGCGGAGCCGCGGAGCCAAGTCCTGGGCCTGGGGTCCTGTGCGGGGTCCGCCAGGTAATTCTCTGCATCTCGTAGGCGCTCAGAACCTTCCCGATACAGAGCCAAGCACAGATTGCAAATGTAACGGACTCACGACTTTGAGTCGACCTTTGCGTGGGCCTCGCAGGCCAGCGTGCCCCCCAGAGGTCGGGTTCTGTGAAAGGGGAGGGCCCCCCGACCTGTGGTGCCTGGAATAACAGTGGCCGTGATTTCTACTGTTCGGGTCAAGCGTGAAGCGAGTCTGTGGTTGCGTTTAGTAAACTCTGCTTGGATGTTGCTCTGCAGAGAGCTGTTCCCGCCCCGTATCGGCTCCGTCGGGACCCCGGGGGTCATGCGTCCATGTGAGTGCTCCTGGGCCCCACCCTGGAAGAAACCAGAACGAATGAGTGGCCGATGGTACTTAAACACCGTTCAAGCAGTTCTGTGATTGATCGCGGGTCCGAAGGTGCCGGACAAGACCGGGTTGTGGTTAGAAATGAAGCCGATGGGCAACGCTCTAACCGCTGAGCCAAACCGGCCAGGGCTCATGCAGTGGTTATAGGTTCCATGTTTTAGAATCCAGCCGTGGAGGGCAGTTCTGTACGGGCCTTTGGGCAGACAAGTGTCTTCCTTTCCCCGGGGCGGATGCAGAGAGTGGTGGAGGCGGGTCTGAGGATGTGTCTGTCTGACTTCGCAGGGAACCTCCAGACAGGTCTCCGGAGCGGCTGTGCGTCGAGGCAGCGCCACGCAGGGCTCGGCACCCGGCTGGGGGTTGCACGGTGGGCGGAGGCCACATGGGCTAGGAACGTGCCGGACAGCCACGGGCTCCGTGGTGGTGAGCAGTTCCGGCTGAGATGAGGCAGCTGTGGGTCCGAGCCCTGGATGCGACGCCCACAGCGGTGAGACGCGAGAAGACAGCCAAGCCCCAGCCCCCTAGTCTGCAGAGCTGGGACAATGATAATTTCCTCGTTTGGCCATTCAGAGGGTTATGTGAGGCAGTTAATGTAAAAGTCAGAGCTGGGTGAGAGCTCACTGGTGTCACTGACTCTGCTTTATGTCGGACAGTAGAGGTGCCAGAGCTGCGGTGCAGTCTCGCCCGTGTGTCTAACTCACACAGCAGACAAGAGCAGAGCTTGGTCCCGAGAACACTGCTCATGGAGTCAGAACGAGAGAGAAAGTGTTCCCGTGGGCAAGACGGTCTGGAAGCCTGAGAGATCAGTGGGGCTCGAAGGTGCGCCGAGTCCTCTCTCGATCGGCCTCATCACGGGCAGCCTCGCCCAGCAGGATGGACCGGTGTAGTCAGAGAAGCTGGCTCGGGGCCCAGGGTCGATGCCGGGCTGTGCTTGTCACTCACGCTGATTCGTACTTTCTCCGTGAAACACGGATGTTCGTGACCGGCCTCAACCGCCCGGCTGTGACGGGGGGCGGTGAGAGAGTCTGTGGACACGGTGCGCCGCCCCTCAGTGAGGTGTTGAGGCAGCTCTGGGGACACGTAGATGTAGATGTAGGTGCAGGTGTATCTATCTGTGTGCATGTGTGTCTCTCTGGCACGAATGTTAGAGAGAGATGTCTGTCTTTCAATCTTATTAATAGCTATGCGAAAATTCTAAATATTTCAATAGCTCAAATATCAAGCTGATTAAAGTTCTCTCAGGTTTATGGACAGGGTGATAAAATATGATTTTTATTCACTTAATTTGGGACTTCCAGGTAAGATCTGCCAAGCCCAAGAAAGAAAATAGCGATTAAGAAGGGCTCCTGGTGGCTAATTGAGATACAAAAATAAAACAAAAAACAGCCCTGGCCGGGCTGGCTCAGTGGTTAGAGTGTTGGCCCACAGATCCAAGAGTTTTGGGTTTGATTCCAGTCAAGGGCACCCACCTCGTTTGGGGTTCCCGGCCCCAGTCGGGTCGTGTGGGAGGCAACCAGTCGATGTGTCTCTCACGTTGATGTTCCTCTCTGTCTCCCTCCCTCCCACTCTATCTGATGTAAATGGAAAAGTTTTCTCGGGTGAGGATTTAAAACAACAACAACAACAAACAAACAGAAACAGGCCGCCGCTGGTCCATGGGGGCCCCTCTCACAGGCCGGGCCTCAGGGAGCAGCGGCCCTGAGCTGCCCACCTGCTCTGAGCTCCTGCACCTGAGCCTCCCTGATGGACGTTCCCGGGATCCAGGTCCACCTGTAGGATGGAGGCTGTTCCATCCAATCACAGCTGGGAAGTTACAGCCTCATTAGCATCTTCACCAACCAATTGGAGCAGCTCCAATCAGGACAGTGCTCCTTGGACCAACCAAACTGAGGCTTTGGAGTTCTCACGTGGCCGGGGCGGGTCTCCGGTCTGCCAGCCGCTCCCTGGCTCAGGGCCACTTGCCCTCGCCCTGGACAGAGACTGCGCCCTCGCGCGCTGGCGCCGCCCGAGTGGAGCCCCTGGTCGGAGGGGCGGAGCTGCAGCTCCTGCCGCCTGGCTCTGGGCAGTTTCACACGAAGGGGGTTTTCTTCCCCACCACGCCCCCAACGAGTCCCTGTTAGCGTTGAGTTGGTGCAGATGGCCATCCGCTGAGGGGTCGGGATACGACATCTGTACTCGTTCCTTAAAACGAGCCATCGACTGTGAGCATCTGTTTAAAGCTCTTCTCGGTATGGTGCAGTCTACAATAGACTAGTGAGCATCATGTAAATTCCTCAGACTTCGTCTTTGCGTGTAGACGGTTCAGCCCAGGGTGCCCGCGGATTTTGTCTTCCAGGCGTACGTGTATGAAATGCGCTCCAGCACCTTCTCCCACAGGCTGGCCGGACACACGGACACCGTCACAGGCGTGGCCTTCAGCCCGTCGACCCCTCAGGTACCGTTTCCTGTGTCAGTGGGCGACCTCGCTCCCACAGTCCTGAGTCATGTCTTTTGTGTCTGTAGACTTTATTCTGGTGAAGTCCCATCGTATTTAATATGTTACAATATTTTATGATATTTAACATCCAGTTTCAGTTGAGTGCGAGGGTTCGAACCTAGGAGCAGACCGTGTGGGGAGGAGGAAAGTCTCAAAGGTTTTCTTTTACGACAAAGGCATTTGTCACTCAGTGCGGATGTGCGTGTGCGCAGCCGGAACAGGAAACACCCGTGGACGAATGTGTCACACTCGTGTGAATACTCATTACACTCGAGGGGCAAAGCAGGGGACCTGGTACAGAACGAGGCGGGACAGGACTGAGAAGTCTCATTATCGATCGTGGATGGGGGGAAGGACCACGGATGTAAAGAAATTCGTGGTATTAGGAGAAGAGAGGAGGACGGTCTGGATCAAAATGCAGATTTTAATTCATTTAATCTTCATTAAAATGAAGATTTTTTTACAGACGATGCACGGATATTGCGTGTTAAATGACCAGTGTGGGAGCGTATTGATTTCGTGTTGTCCCTTCACGTTTGAAGCTGAGACTCAGTAACACGAGTGGGCGCTTGTGAGCCATGCGCCTGAGCTCGCAACCTGGGTGTTCCCACCGCCCCTCCCCGCCAGACGGGTCCTCGCAGCACAGGGCAAGTCACAGCGGCGGGCACACAGCTCACCTCCTTCTCACGTTAAACACTGACAAATGCAGAGAGCCTGTCAGGTCACTGACCACAGGGCTCGGGTCGGCGCTGACCCTAATTTAGCTCCTGGGTGCGCCGCTGACGGGCACGTAGGGGAGTCGCGCGCCGACTGAGGATGGTCGGAAAGAGAGGCAGCGGCCGGGAGCCACGCTGGGGACCCCGCACGCGAGGTGAGCGGTGCCGACCCGAGTGGGCGGTCTCCGGGGTGATGTTGGTGTTCGCTCTCTCTTTGAAAGTTCGGTACTCGCACAAAATATCTTTGAGCTGAATCGAGGAGCTGTTTCAATACTTGGAAATTTGTAATTAGGGTAAGGCGTGTAGGTCCCTGTTGCCACTGAGGGTGTCGTCATGGACAAAGTAGTGTTATGAGGGCGAGGGAGGAGAGGGGCAGCCACGCTGCCCCCACCGTCGATTCGGACAGTTCGAGACGTCGGTTTCCTGGTCCTCATCTCGGGAAACCGAGAGGCTGCCCCGCACACGAATGAACGTTCTCAGACACCGCACCCCCCGCTCCGCCTGTGTGGTCACCCTTCCGCTTCAGGGGCGCTGCAGACCCGTGCGCTGAGAGGTGGGCGGAGGTTGCGTTCGTCCCCTCACGGTTATCAGGACGGTGTCTCTGAACGGCAGGCTCCTCAGGGGGCCCGGATGGGGGGGAAAGTCTGTTCACTACCGTTTCATGTGATCTTGGGAGGACGTGGTCCTGTCCCTAACGCCCGTTCTCAGCCTGTCCTGCCGCACCCGGTCAGTGGTGTGCCGGATGCCTGGTGCTGCTTACAGTTGTGTCCGGAGCACAGAACGCCCAACTCAAGCTCTGTGTTGACAAAACCTACTCAGTGGTGCATCAGAAAACATTTCACATTTTTATATGAGGAGGAAGACCCCTGAGTTCCATCCCGGCATGTTCACACAGAACACGCACGTTCGGGGTAGAGAGGGCTTTGTGAGCTCAGGGGGGACAGGCGACCTGAGCCCCAGACCTGGGCCGTCCCCCACGCCCGACGGAGGCGCGGACGGAGGCTCGGACGGCGCCCTTAGCAGCGAGGCCCCTTTGTCTGGAGGGAGATGTTCACCTCCCGGGGCAGCGGGGAGGGCAGTGCAGAGGGTGGGCCTGTGGTGGGCGCCTCTCAGGCCCTCCCTTCTCCCCTCGAGGAGACGCGACAAGTTATCCGAAGGTTACTCCCCTGGCTGAGTCACACTGAGCAGAGCAGAGGCACAGACACGAGGGACCCGGGTTCCCCTGAATCCTACAGACTTAACACCGCGGCTAAGAGGCTGCCGTCCCCTCCATCCCCTTCCTCACCGTCCTCGTATTTTCCTTGATGTCGTGAGTTCTGGGTGCATTTTATGTGATTCTGCAAGCACGCGTCAGACCTCAGGAGGGCACACGTGTGACCTCGGGCAGGCACGCGTGTGACCTCGGGTGGGCCAACGCTGGGACATGGGGAGAGAGAAAAAGTCAATATATTGAAATTGGAAAACTTCTCTTCCTGTAAGATTGTGATATTTATACTTGACACTTAGATTGTTTTTGATATTTTGATATTATATGTAATGTTTTGATTATATCTTTGGATTTATTTTCTCAAAATAGGTAATTAAAGTTGGTATTACTGAGTAAAATAGCTAAAACTTTGAAAGGGTTCTGATAGATATAGACATATATTTCTCAGTGTTTTCTGCTGTTTCCTTGAATATTCTTGAACATAATTTCCATATGCTATTAGCTACTTGAGTGTCTTCATTTTACATTGCTTGGTTATACTTTTCATAACTTTATGTTGTGGACTCAATGTTTTATTAATTGTTCTGGCTTTTATTTTAAAATTGATATTTTGTCCTTTGCATTCACAGTAAGTGCTTTTCTCAGGTTTGGTTTTGCCTTTTGTTTTGTTTACTTTTTTAAATATAGAAATTTTATTTCTCCTCTTTGTTTTAGGCCTGGATGATTTTTCTCTCTCCATTGACTTACACCTGATACAATTACGGTAGAATCTTTCATTATTGTAATTTTTTTTTTTAATTGTGCCATTTCTTTTTTATTGTTTCACTCTTTTATTTTTTTATTTTTTAATTTTTTTCAAATCTTTATTGTTGGATGTAAAATGTATTACAGATGTTCCACATTTTTCCCCCATTGACCCCCTCCTCCCCACTCCCGCCCCCCTCCCACCTTTTCCCTATTGTAATTTTTTAACTCCCTGGCGGTCAGTGCCCATATCTGGGACATCTCAGACTCTGGTTGTATCGATCCCTTTGTCTCTTGACAGTGGGCTCCCCTTGGTGTGTCTTGTTATTTTGTGTGAAGGCCAGTCAGTGAGCGTGGCGCACACACAGGCTTTCTCTTTCTGCCGTTGGTTTGGTTGGTGGTTCGGTTCAGCAGGGCCATCGGAACCGCCTGCAGGGCCCACCACAGGAGGAGCTCAAGGACGCTGTTGCCACCCTTCCAGGAACTTCCGAATACTCAGCATCCTTCCCACGTCAACTTTTCAAAATCTTAAATGTAGCTACGGAAGCACATGAGGATGAAACTTGAAACCATCTGTTTCCGTCAGGCAGTGTTACTTTGGGAGTTGATGTTTAGCTCACCAAGGAAAAATAACCCAAGTCTGTACCTGGAAAAACTGTTATTTGGTTTTTAAGTGGAAGAGAAGTTTCTGATACTCCTGACCATGTTATCAGTTTGGATGTGTAAGTTCAGGGGTGAGAGTCCGCTGTGTGCTTACTAATACCCATAACTCCATGAGCTGCTCCGTGATGGTCTGTGGGGCCGAGGGCGGCGAGAGGCGGAGGGTGGGCGTCTGGCCGCCCGGCTGTGTCCGTGCCGACCACGGCGTCAGGTGGACGCTGCCCCTGCTGTAAAGGCTTTTACCTCATGAAGAGAGATCTCCCAACCGTTTTAAGTTAAAAAGGGACTAGCTGAGGATAAGCTAACCTGCCTTTTGTAGAGAGAACTTTGTGACCTACCAGCAGTGTCTGCAGACAGTGAGTATCACGGGCACACGTGGTCGCGTCTCCCTGGAAGGTACGCCCCAGGCTGGCCGGGAGGTGGATGCTGTTCTAGCCTGGGCTTCCCTCGGGGTCCCCCGTGCTGCAGAGGTTCCCGCGTTGAAGCTTCTGCTCCTCGTTTCTGTTTCGTTCTTGTGTTTGTCCTGCTCAAAGTCCAGTCTTAACAACCCGGCTGCTACTTGACTTCTGTGGAAGGCTTTGCTCCTCACCAACGTCTCTGTCAACCCGGCCACGGTTTCCTGAGCCGTGACTTTGATTACAGAACCAGAAAAAGACACGAGAGAGACGCGGAATCCATGCGGGTACATTGTGACCCCAGCAGACTGGAAAGGAAACAGCATATAGTCAGGCGGTAGAAGTTCAAGGGGGGGTCACACACAGATTACACACGAGTAAAACGTGCCCAGTGGAATGAATGACTTCAGACGTTCTTTCCAGCAGGTGGGAGACATTAATTTGCCTTTGGAGGGCTGGATGCCACCCAAGTCCAGCCAAGACTAGGGAGACCCTGGCTGCCTGCCAACAGAGCTGGGAACAGGTCTGTCACCTGGACCTCGAGGTACAGAGCCCTCAGGGCACGTGGGGGGCTCTCCACCGTCCTGGCGATGATGAGCAGGCTCAGCTTCGTGCTGGTGGGTGAGTCCAGCTTACCGAGCGGCGGCCCTCACTTACCTCGGGGCGAAGGTTTCTTTAGGGTTAGAATTAAATGCAGAGATGAAGTATATCAAACCCACTGTGTTAACAGGGTTTCACGAATTTAGGAATAATCTGAGAATAATAGTTAAGGTGTTTGTAAAGTTTCAGGGATTTTGATATATTAAAATACTTGATTCTAATTTGAAACGTGAATTGACTTTAAACTTGGGACATCTTAGTTGAGAAAAATAAGAACATTTCACCAAGTTTGTGAGCAGCATTTTGGTTTCTAAGAAAACTTGAGATTCGTCGTATTTCTACATTTGCTTGATTACATTTTTGAGAATGAAGAATTTGGGGGCATTTTTCTTTTTGTCATTTAAAGTGTTCAAGAAAATGTAATATATTAAATTTGAAATGAGTCTTGACAATTTTAAAATAACATAAGTTGTCAATTTGACTCATTGCCTAAAGGATTCTAATTTGTTCATTATGAGTACGTTTAACATACATCAAAGGCCACTTGGCATGTGATTGTTAAAATTTACTAGATTTCTAACTATAATATGATATTAAGTTGAATTAAAAGCTCACGGAAGTAGGTTTTAAAATTTT